ATGCTTGCAAGTGTCCCCTCTGATTAGGTACACAAATCCTGCCTGGGCCATGTGACTTGGACTCTGTTTCATCTGCACTGGCCAGTCTTTAAATGAATCGAGTCTTTTCTGGAATGAAGACCAGTCAGTATTGATTGCACAGCAATCGGCAACGACAGTTTTGTCGATTGGGTAATGTTTACACACATCCATGATATCCCAGATCGGAGAGCAGTGGTAACACGTCTGCACAGTACAGTGCCTTAACCAAGAATGGCTTTACACCCGTGACTTATAGTCTAAATACAGGCCTGGGAAGTCTAAAAAAATAGTCATCATCTAAATAGAGCCAGTTACTGAGGGCCTTTTCTGGACTCAAACAATAGGCCTGGGCGTCATAAAAACCTCAATGACGTCAAAAACAATGTTCGCAGTTGTGAGGTGGATGTTCTTGCCAAATCGTCAGTACTGTTTCACCTTTTATAGCGTAAGCAGTACTGTGTTTCGACTGATCATAATCTTGCTCCTTGAGCCCACATTCAAATGCATATTGGCCTTCATTCCGGTTATCTTAAATGCTAAAACACAATACGTTCACTCGACCCGTGGCACGGACGTCTTCTTCATCACATATTTTGTGGCAGAATCGATTGTTCCACAGTAAATCCTGAAAACATTGAAAACAAATAAAACCATGTGTCAAATAAATATGCCATTCGTAAACAGAAGACTGTTTCAATCTGCACATATCTCTAGCCTGACGAGTAAAACATAAAAACATACAAACGAAATGACGAAATAAGATTTATTTTAAAAACAAATGAATTTCTTAAAATGTTTTACCTTGCACATGTCAGATGTATCGTAAAGGTCTTCTACCTTCAAACTAGCATAGTCGTCACCCCAGACGTGGACAATCAACAGCATACACCAGGCAGTGTCAGAGAGCAGCTCCCCTTCTTTTTGTTTTTTCTCTAAGATGTTGATTAGATCCTTTCTGCTTTCTTTAATACTAGTCATGTCCATTTTCTATCTATAAACAGCCAGCAGAATCAGTAGAGTCAAGAGCATAGAACGTTTTTCATGGAGAAGAGACGTTCTCTCTGGCGACTGAGATGAGAATGACATGAAACTGTTTAGGGGGCCTTATATTGCCTACCTGCTAAATGACGTCATACCTTCTAGAATGTTGTACGTCACCGTGATGAGGGGAACCGAATCTCCCCTAACACTTTTGAAATCCAATAATAGACCAGGTGCATAGCAACGGGTCATCACAAAGAGGTGACACAGGTGTTTAATTAGGTCACCCAGGTGCCTCATTTAAAAAAAAAAAACATGGCCGATTTTTCGGTTGACTACCCAGGTGTACAACAGAAGTAGAACTTGACACTCATATATTGTCATGAGCACTTTATACTGATGTGCAATGTTACCTTCAGATTATTTAAATGAGTTTCCAATTAAAGATTCAGAAGCTTTATTTTTCATCTGATATTTTTTTTGTATTTTCCATCCATTGCTAAGTGTAAATGTAAATACATCTTGTACGATTGTAATAAAGTTTGTTTTGTTCACCATGTATACTGTTAGTTTGCATTGTCTTTTTTCTCGCATTTACCAATTGTAAATAGTGTAAACACAAAACCAAACAAACAAGTTCCTTAGTTTGTAAATGAAGTAGTCCCAAATAATAGAGTACACTTTAAAGTCATTTGGATATCATCTTCTCTTGCCATTGAACATCTCCTGGGCCCATGGAATAGTCCTTCAAATAGTTTCTTTGGTTGGTGCCATCTAGTGGGGTAACGTTCCTCGCACCCTGGTTATCCCCATCAAGTAGCTGTGTGCTGGAGCGCCACTCGCCTGGGGTGAGTGAACAGTCCTCATTCCCCTGGTCTATGAGGTTCATCTGACTGTTCCGGTTCCTCGTTCTCAGCATGTTGTGTAAAGTGAAGCAGGCCAGGGTTATCTGTTCAGCTCTCTGTCTGTAGTGCTATTTAGGGAGCCTAGATCCCCCGCGTATTCAATGGGTTCCTTATCAGGTGAATATGCTGGACATTCCCAGCGAGGAACATTGTTTTGTCCCAGAAAGTCAATGGCTATGAGAGTACGATGAGGTCTAGCATTGTCATCCTGGTAACCGCCTGTGGACCTATTCGATGAAGACAAGAATCTCATCCCTGTAGCAAACAGCATTCGGCAGCATTGATGACGTACAGATTAGTTCTGTGATAAAATGAGAAAGCGTCCCACACCATGACACTTTCACTGCTAAAACGATTGTGTCCACAACGTTGACGTCAGCAAAACGTTCACCACGCCGTCGTAGACAAGAATACGCCCGCCATTATGCTGCAGTGAGAACCGCGATTCATCAGAGAATAGAACTGCTGACCACTGTTTTCTTGCCCATTGTCGGTGATGCCCTGTCCGTGCGCCTCTAGCTGCTCTCTGACGCGGAAGAAGACGTGTTGTAACGGCTTGACGTCGGGGTCGAAGGTTTCTTTCCCTCAGAAGGTTTCTAATGTTTTGGTCACTGACGTTTGTTCCTGTAGCAGGCCTCAGTTGCCGTCGAAGATGGTTTGCTGTGACGGTTCTCCTCCTCAAAGCTTCAACAGCGAGGTACCGGTCTTCCCTTCCTGTTGTCACACGAGGGCGTCCTGACCTTAGTGTCTCACACACAGCAACGACACCACAACGTGGTCATGTGTCCAGACAGCTGATGGAGGAACATGTGAAGTTCTGATGGTATGCTGGGATATAACTGGAACACTGTTCAAGATGGCGTAAGACCAGTCTCTTGCAAAAACTGGGAATGAGTTATGAAGTCATCAATATATTGCAGAACTTAATATCCACGTACATAAAGGCGGTTGTCAAGTTGCAGTATTATGTATGGTAAAATGTTTTGTTGTTGCATTACGTTGTTTCGGTTCTCATTCAGTACCGAACACTCGGAAGTACACAAATTCTGACAGTTTGGTTCAGGAACCAGTTCTTGGGAGAGGGCAGATTGTTAAGTTACAAGGCGATAACCAGAACTGAAAGTTCTTGCCAAAATGGCACTCTTTTTATGTGAAACTGAGAAGATTCCAGTTTGCTATTGTTTTTAGAACGTGGAGGTTGCCAGATGTTTGTTCTAAATTCCCATCGAAAACATCTTTTGAGTTTATATATATATATATATATTCCTCTAACAGACTGGCATGTACTGTCCGCTGATCTGGACCTGCCTCTTAAAAGAACACAAATACCATACATCATTGGGCTTAGCATTCAGTACAGCTTTGGAGCAAGGCTAGTTACGTGGGTGTGAACAAATGTGTGACATGATAGTACACAGATGCCTTGATAATCGAGGATTGTAATACCATTGATCTCGGAATGTCGATTTTATCAACAAATGTAATATATTCGCTGTTCATAATTACTGCTAGCATCGTACCGTGTACCCAATCACAGTAGGATTGTGTTGCTGGTTTTAATAGCGATAAAACAAACACTGTTACCAATGAATAAAATATGAATGCTACGATTCATCGTTAAATACATTTGAGATGACTTTTTCGTTTGACCTTCAGTGTCTGTTTAGTCCCACAGAAATGGCTGACATTTTGCTGGTGCCAGTTAAGTTTGCACCCAGTACAGTAACGTCAGGATACGATTTCATTTTATTGTTTTCACCATCTGCACCAGGAACATCCAATATATTTAATCAGGTTATGCCAGTAAAATATTGCCTACACTATGCTATGAACAATCTCTTCGCTGTCACTGACAAACGATGATTCTTTATCGCGGTCAACTTCACTCTCTGTGGAAAGAAATCACAAATTCGATGCCTGAAAGGATCGACGTTTTGGTAGGTGTTGCTGTTTACAGTACAACCAGAAACTATTGAGAATTTAAAGATTGTAATTTTTTATATTTTTTTCACTCATTACTCACGCATTAAATGTGAATATTAGCAGAACATAACTCCAGATTCAAAGACAGGTGAATAGTTAGGTTTTTGTCAAGTCACAATGGGCAGCAATGCAGGCTTCAATGCGGCGGAGCATACTACTGATCAAAGAAGTTAGAAAGTCGTGGTCCATGCTGTCCCAATATCGGACAACCTCTTCTTTCATTTCAGCAATATTTGTCAGATTTTTCTTATTGACACTTTCCTTCATAAGTCCCCAAATATTTTCTATTGGATTTAGGTCAGGGGCCATAACTTGGCCAATCTAATGTCATATTTTGGGTCCGGAAACCAGGCCTGTGAATGCTTTGAACGATGTTTTGGGTCGGTGTCCTGTTGGAAAATCAAAAATTTCCATAGAACACGTGAGCAGATGGAAGTATATGTCCCTCTAGAATATCTGTGTACCGCTCACTGTTCATACTCCCTTCAAACACGCAGAGGGCGTTGCCCCTAACACAGATATGCCACCCTACGTTAAATTTCGGATAGTACTTTGGGCGCTGATACAAAGGTTTTCAGTTTCTTTGGTCCAGAATTTCAGTGTATTAGGAAACAGCCACACAGAACTTTCCTCTGAGAAAATCACATTGTCCCAGTTAACATTTCTATGCTGTAAGCACCAGTTCAACCTTCGCTCCTTTTGTTCAGGTTTCATGATCGGTGATGGCATTCCCTCGACTTTTCTCATAATTGATACACCTGATGCACATAAAGAGGAGGAGAGGTATCTAATGCTGGAAGTGTTTACCAATAAAGCTGCTGCCTTGTACTTGTGGTGGATTATGTTTGGTAGGTGCGCTGGGTGCAATCTGAAAATATAACGCTGACCTAACTCGCTCTTTCTTGATTACTCATATATTGCTTTTGCTTTATTTCATATAGGTATCTAATAACTTTAGGTATGTAGGAATAATGTGTGATTTGAAGTGTCTGTAAGCTGTTTCGCAAATAGGATTTTACGTTCCCTTCAGGCCCCGTGCAACACACGACTTCAATGGTTTCGTCTTAGTGCATCGACACGCCCGGACAAGATATCCGTAATTGAAGTATAGTCGCACATTCGTCAGGTTGGAGAGGTGGAAATCCCAAGTGGTGAAATGTATGTGCTAACATTTAACACGTGTTTAATGTTTTCGAAATTTTATGAATAAGAGTTTGGTTTTAAACTGATCATCCCTATACGCAAAAAGACGTAGAAATTCAAACATATATGATTCAGTTTGAAATGTTGTTATTGCAAACATTGAACGTAGTTAGGACCGTCTCTCTCCGACCACGCCATATCATCAAACAGTGATTACACTACACCGAATTATCAAACAGTGATTACACTTGGTCACAAAATGCCTAAATGTTGGCTCGAGGGCATGTTTCAAACTCAGACAAACCGAAGTGAAAGGTCTTCTAACGAGGTGCGACGTGTGTGACTCAGCACGATCAACCACAGAACACCATCATACTGTCCTCCCTTACTGGCCTCCACCATGAAGGTCCGGGTTAGAATTGGTCTTGACATGGTCTTAACCCATACTTGTGGCGACTGATGGAACCGGGTGGTCAGGCTCGCGGACTTGATGGACATGTGTCATTGTATCCCATTTGTGTTGATCGATGCTCATGCTGTTGATCCCTGCATTGTCTGGTCCAGACCAAACTATTTACAGACCGCCACCTTATAGCTGGAATGCTGCTTATTGCAGCATTAAAGATCAACCAACTAACCAACTTCCCTACTAGCCATCAATGATGTACCATTTGCTTTTCAATTACATGAGATCGTTATGTTAATCTCATATTTGTCACAACATACTATGTATACATTCTTCTCAATAACTTGTTGTAGTCACTTTAAGCTTGAAAACTGTGTTACATTATACTCCGAAACGTTGCACTATGCACAGGGGCTTGTAAGGCTAAAAACTGCCATCAAGGTATATACTGTCACTGACGGGGTCTTAGTACTATACAGTGGAAACCTGGTATAAGTAAAATTTCAAAGGTATATACTGTCACTGACGGGTCTTAGTACAGTGGAAAAGCCTGATAAATTGTTTACTTATCAGGTATTTTACTATCCAAACTTATAAAACCTGCAAATGACAACCATATGCATGTATATGTATGCATATATAACAATGAACAACTTATCAGGGCTGGCAGTGTATTGACAACTGCTTGACACCAGCGAGCTGTAAAGTAGGGATGTTTGTTTGACTGGAGACTGATCCGACTGCCCCTCCAGGGTTTTACATGACACATGATTCCTGCGTATTTGACGCGAACAATTATGTTAATGACTCAAATACTATCATATGAGTCAAGCCCCTCATGTCGGATAATGTGGTGATCGCTAATTTAGTTATCCAGTCTCTTTTGTTAAGTAATTTACTTCCATGGACCATGAGAAGACGTTTAGTTAAAGCGGTATTGTTTACTTATCCGAGCTTAGTTAACCGGACTCTAATAGTGATAATTAATGAAGAAAGTTGCCGGGACCAAAAAGTGTTTTCTTATCAGGTCTGTTTAGTTAAGCGGTCTTTACTTAGGCGATTTCCACTGTACTATACACAGGGACTTGTAACGCTAAAACTGCCATCAAGGTATATACTGTCACTGACAGGGTCTTAGTACTATACACAGGGGCTGGTAACCCTAAAACTGCCATCAAGGTATATACTGTCACTGGACGGGGTCTTAGTACTATACACAGGGGCTTGTAATGCTAAAACTGCCATCAAGGTATATACTGTCACTGACGGGGTCTTAGTACTATAAACAGGGGCTTGTAATGCTAAAAACTGCCATCAAGGTATATACTGTCACTGACGGGGTCTTAGTACTATAAACAGGGGCTTGTAACGCTAAAAACTGCCATCAAGGTATATACTGTCACTGACAGGGTCTTAGTACTATACACAGGGGCTGGTAACCCTAAAACTGCCATCAAGGTATATACTGTCACTGACGGGTCTTAGTACTATACACAGGGGCTTGTAATGCTAAAAACTGCCATCAAGGTATATACTGTCACTGACGGGGTCTTAGTACTATAAACAGGGGCTTGTAATGCTAAAAACTGCCATCAAGGTATATACTGTCACTGACGGGGTCTTAGTACTATAAACAGGGGCTTGTAACGCTAAAAACTGTCATCAAGGTATATACTGTCACTGACGGGGTCTTAGTACTATAAACAGGGGCTTGTAACGCTAAAAACTGTCATCAAGGTATATACTGTCACTGACGGGGTCTTAGTACTATAAACAGGGGCTTGTAACGCTAAAAACTGTCATCAAGGTATATACTGTCACTGACAGGGTCTTAGTACTATATAAAAGGATCCTTGCATTACAAGCCCCTGTAGCTCTATGCAATAAACACAAAGTTGTTATCCATAAAGTCATATGTTTTATTATTGACTCACCAACTTCTAAAATGCGTATCAAACAATTAACATCATACTGGGTATGTTTTTGGGGAAATCAAGAGGCAGTTTATTTTGTCATGAAGACTATAAATATGTTTATTAGGTCATCTGAAGCTTTCTTGTTACAGTGTTGGGGTGGGTGCAGGGGAAGGTTAGTTACAGTGTTGGGATGGGTGCAGGGGAAGGTTAGTTACAGTGTTGGGGTGGGTGCAGGGGAAGGTTTGTTACAGTGTTGGGGTGTGGGTGCAGGGGAAGGTTTGTTACAGTGTTGGGGTGGGTGCCGGGGAAGGTTTGTTACAGTGTTGGGGTGGGTGCAGGGAAAGGTTTGTTACAGTGTTGGGGTGGGTGCAGGGGAAGGTTAGTTACAGTGTTGGGGTGGGTGCAGGGGAAGGTTAGTTACAGTGTTGGGGTGGGTGCAGGGAAGGTTAGTTACAGTGTTGGGGGGTGGGTGCAGGGGAAGGTTAGTTACAGTGTTGGGGTGGGTGCAGGGGAAGGTTAGTTACAGTGTTGGGGTGGGTGCAGGGGAAGGTTAGTTACAGTGTTGGGTGGGTGCAGGGGAAGGTTTGTTACAGTGTTGGGGTTGGTGCAGGGGAAGGTTAGTTACAGTGTTGGGGTAGGTGCAGGGGAAGTTGGGTTGTGGGTGCAGGGAAGGTTTGTTACAGTGTTGGGGTGGGTGCAGGGGAAGGTTAGTTACAGTGTTGGGGTGGGTGCAGGGGAAGGTTAGTTACAGTGTTGGGGTTGGTGCAGGGGAAGGTTAGTTACTGTGTTGGGGTGGGTGCAGGGGAAGGTTAGTTACAGTGTTGGGGTGGGTGCAGGGGAAGGTTAGTATACTGTTTCATGTGTTTGCATGTCTCACTCAAGGTCTTGGTTTGATTCACAAATTGGGTACAATGTGTGGAGTAAATTTCTGGTGCTCCTGCTGTCATATTGCGGTTATTTTACTAAAAACAGGTTATAAGTTCAATGTGGTATCATTCAGAATATGATATGAATACACAATGCCATTTAGAAAGTGGTCAGACACTTTACTTCTATGTTCACAAATGTAGGCCATCGGCCCACAGTACAGTATTGGTCCATATAAAATAGATAAATATGTCACACAATATCAAACAAGGATGTATCATCAAACCATACTTAAAGCAATCATATTGCATAGATGTACACGTAGCATTGTTTCCATACAAGTACTTTATAATTATATGTCTAGTATAGTATATGAATGAAGCAACATTTCTATTTCAGTTGCATGCTCAGTTTCGCAAGGCATCAATGTGTTGAACATTTGCTGAGTAGTGTATTTATAGTATTTAGCCGGTAAGAACTGTTTCCATCGGTCATCATACATCTGGCACACAAGCAAAAATAAAATTCACTTTCGACATAATTGTGTTTACAAATACATGTTCTCTGGTCACAAGGGGATATATTATATCTGTCAAATGGTCAAATGTAACATATGTTATATCTGGGATTACAATTTCTCAGTAAAGTACAGATTCTAGTACATTTGTTGGGTTGAGTCACATCTGGGATTGGAACCCACACTCTGAGGGCATGGGTTCGAACGTTATAATAGTTCAGGGCGAAAGTGTGCTTTATTACACTATACATGGTGGTAGAGGGAACTGTATTCTTTTCTAAGATGCCAATTTAATACTTTCTAAGGATAATTACGATTAATTTAAGGCAGAAAACAAATGACGGTGTCGGTGACCTAAATTAAGAATTCTCGCACAGGGATAACTGGCGCGCTGTTCTATTGATGTGTCTGCCCCCCTACGTTAAGACGAACGTTACCAGAAAAAAACAAATGATAACAGTTTGATGACGGTTTACAGTCGGATTAAATATCTTCTCTGAATTATTTTAATTACATCTGTCATTAACGTAAACCATATGGGGCAATATGAACGTCGCATTTCTACTACCAACGTAAGTTTAGATCAGTACATTCAGATGAAGCTGAGTAGTCAAGCGACATTCCACAATTGCATTGTGGGTTGTAAACATTGCAAACGTTACCGTGTCACTGAAAACTTGTGAGTCGAATTGGCACATTTTAACCGTCGTAAAACATAAACGTAATGTTTCCACCAGTGATGTTAGCTGTGTGAAGCAACTGCAAACCAAGAAACAGGATGCAACGGAGTAGTTTACTGTAGGAGGCCGTACGAGGCGATGACAACTGACATGCATCGTGACGTCGCTTACATTGTGACGTAATGTAAAATGGTTCGATTATGAGGGGGCACACTAGAATGGCGCAGTGACGGGATAACATCATTCAATTGTTATGTCATCAAAAAACTATACCTTTATTGTCAGATAATGTTGTTGGTTTTTTTGTTCTAACCGCTAGGCATCTTAGAATATATGTTACAGAAAGTGTAACCTCAGATATAATATATGTTACAGAATGTGTTAGCTGTATGTTTACATACATGAAAGCATGAAAGCAGTTCTTTTTGCCTCACTGCTTCATACAACATTCACTCACATAACTTCGGCGATTGTAAAGCTGAAGAATCTGTGCATGAAATCTGCCACTCGATGACAGTCTGAATTTTTTTTGTTTAGGGGTTGAACTGACGCCATATTCAACAAAAGATGGCAGCGACATTTTGTGAGATAGACATCGAGGACCTTGTGTTCTATGAACGATGTGGTGGCGGTACGTTTGGCAGCGTGTACCGGGCTTTGTGGAAGTCGCAGAACATGATTGTGGCTGTCAAGAGACTTCTGATGCTCGAGAAGGAGGTAGGTCTGAAAAGTTCTAAATATGGAACATATGATTCCTAGAATCAGGTCTCTATCTCCGCACTATGATAGTTATAAGTCAGTGTTAAAGGTCACATGCAACGCAAAACACAACTTTGCAGATTCTGATAGCTTTCGGTATGGACTTACAGTAACAAATTATCAAAAATACAAATTCAACTTATAAAGTTGAAAAATAACGCGATGAAAAAAACCGCACGAAATCGGAGTTAAAACGATTCACTAATTTTCCCCCAGCGCTTACGCAGTAAAGTAATGGTGAAATAATGTTCATAGCACCATCATCACTATATGGAACAGGGCTTTTGTAGGATAAACTTACTGGCAAACAAGGACAAGTTGGACCGTTGCAGAGAACAAGTTAACAAGAAGTAGGCGGTGCACGGCAATAAGCAGACTCATTTGGTTTGTGAAGGGTAGAGCAGATGTAGGCTAGTGCACGTGCAGCACATGACGATGAAATTGATTCCGCACGTAGCTGCACGCGCCTTGGTCATAAGACTCTTGTGTGGTTGGTGTAGCAAGTCGGACAACCTGGGGCCCCTTCGCTCACAATGGCAAGCCTCAGTGGGCGACACTCATACATTCTAATACGGGTCAATTGTCAGGTCGGTGCTCAACTTATCCTTGTTTGCCAGTAGTATGTGTCAGCATGTCACTGTTTGAGCAGAGAATATTTCGCTTTTATCAAAGATATTTGAATCTAAGGACTGTATCTTCAACTTTTCTTATGTCCTGAAAAGAGCCCTGTACTTTCATGCCAGACTTATAATGGTGTGTATCTGTGCTAGCTCACTGGAAAAAGTAGATGGATCATAGTCATGAATTATTTTTCTGTGTGGACATTTGTATCTTACACTGCAGATGTTTTGAATCCTTTTTGTATCATAATTCATTAATGCCGAAACAAAGCGGTTTCAGGGACCAAGTCAAAAAATTTTCATATTTAACGTTTTTTGGTATGATGCGCTATACAAAAATGTTCTGAAGCTAATAACCTTTGTCTCTTTGTCCTAGTAGGATGTAGTAATAACTACACCAGGGATCGAAATAGGACTTAATTTGTGTGCCATGGAATGGTGAATATAGAAATGGCATGGATAAAGTATTTTCAATGTGCCCCGATGCCACAACTGAAATTATAAAGATAATACACACCATGATTTATTTAATGGAAAATGCAAAAAATTTGACCAACTCAAATGATTCAAAACCCATGTTTGCACTCTGTCAAACTGTTTGTTGGTTTCACATGGGCTTGGCCATTTTGAATGCCAGTGCACATTAACATAACATTATTATCTCCCGCCATGAAGTGGGTGCGGGATATAGGTTTGACCTCAATCTGTCCGTCCAACCGTCGAAGATGATGGGGACAGATTTTCTAAGAAACCCCCTCATTGCCCACTTGTTTCGTATTGTTAACAGTACCGTACATTGCCCACTTGTTTCATATTGTCAACAGTACCATACATTGCCCCCTTGTTTCATATTGTCAACAGTACCATACATTGCCCCCTTGTTTCATATTGTTAACTGTACCATACATTGCCCCCTTGTTTCATATTGTTAACACTACCATACATTGTCCCCTTGTTTCATATTGTTAACAGTACCATACATTGCCCGCTTGTTTTGTATTGTCAACAGTACCATACATTGACCCCTTGTTTCGTATTGTCAACAGTACCATTCATTGCCCCCTTGTTTCATATTGTCAACAACCATACATTGTTGTTTCATATTGTCAACATTACCATTTGCCCCCTTGTTTCATATTGTTAACACTACCATACATTGCCCCTTGTTTCATATTGTCAACAGTACCATACATTGCCCCTTTGTTTCATATTGTCAACAGTACCATACATTGCCCCCTTGTTTCATATTGTCAACAGTACCATACATTGCCCCTTTGTTTCATATTGTCAACAGTACCATACATTGCCCCCTTGTTTCATATTGTTAACACTACCATACATTGCCCCCTTGTTTCATATTGTCAACAGTACCATACATTGCCCCCTTGTTTCATATTGTTAACAGTCCATACATTGCCCCTTGTTTCATATTGTTGTTGCCATACATTGCCCCTTGTTTCATATTGTCAACACAACCATACATTGCCCCCTTGTTTCATATTGTTAACACTTATACATTGCCCCCCTTGTTTCATATTGTCAACACTACCATACATTGCCCCTTGTTTCATATTGTTAACACTACCATACATTGCCCCTTGTTTCATATTGTTAACACTACCATACATTGCCCCTTGTTTCATATTGTCAACACTGCCATACATTGCTCCTTTGTTTCATATTGTTAACAGTACCATACATTGCCCCCTTGTTTCATATTGTTAACAGTACCATACATTGCTCCCTTGTTTCATATTGTCAACAGTACCATACATTGCCCCCTTGTTTCATATTGTTAACAGTACCATACATTGCCCCTTGTTTCATATTGTCAACAGTACCATACATTGCCCCCTTGTTTCATATTGTTAACACTACCATACATTGCCCCCTTGTTTCATATTGTTAACACTACCATACATTGCCCCTTGTTTCATATTGTTAACACAACCATACATTGCCCCTTTGTTTCATATTGTTAACAGTACCATACATTGCCCCTTGTTTCATATTGTCAACAGTACCATACATTGCCCCCTTGTTTCATATTGTTAACACAACCATACATTGCCCCCTTGTTTCATATTGTCAACACTACCATACATTGCCCCATTGTTTCAGGCCCAGGTTCTGAGTGTTGTAAGTCATCGGAACATAATCCAGTTTTACGGCGCCGTCACTGCCGACCCCAACGTGTGCCTTGTTACTGGTGAGTCACCATGGCTACCTTCAATGCCAGTAGTGATGAGTCCTTTGCTAGATAATGGTGGGTCTGTTCAGTCTTGCTGAAGGTGCTGAGGTTGCAGAATTGAAGTTTGTCTACCACATGGGTATTGCAGGTTTGAGCTGGCGTACAACTACATAAGCTTGTAAAGGGCAAAGTAATGGATGAATGGTCATACTTGGTTGTCATCGTAACCTGTTGGTGTGCATTGTTCCCCACAGTATCAATCACTGGTTTTTCACGTCCAGATTCAGGTACTTACAGACCTGTGTCTGATGGGGAGATCAGTGTGACATCAAACTGGCTACCAATCTAAGATTTATTTTTGGTATGCTTTTATGACGACAAGGTGGACTAAATCACTGAATAGTTCTGATGAGTTGAGTTACATTTCTGTACAAGACTTGCAAAACTGGTGAACTGGCGCCGTTTGGTGATTTGATATTTTTCATGTTTATATAATGACAAGTTGAGTTTTGCTGAAAATGAGGGTAGTGATATTTCCATATCAGAAATTCCTGTATATTGTTGGATGAAACTTGCTGAATAGCTCAAGATATTGGGGATATTGAAAAATACCGAACATAAACTTTTTCATCATTGAAATGAAAATATTCAAAGGCAGTTTTCCCCAAATTCATGTACTGAATTGCACCATAATGTGGGCAGTTATCTCTTAATGATTTCAGTTGTACTTTACACAAATTCAAGCTGTAATAACCCCTTGTGTGTCTCCTAAAAAGTGTTAAGGCACAGATAGTTGGACCATAATTTCACTTGGAAATATTCAAGGGATGAAACAGAAAAATGTCGTTATATTTTAGTTGATATTTGATGAGATGTGAGATTTTGACCCTAAGATGAGATTGTGAGTATTTGGAGCAAGTGTCTGTATATTCCAGTTCATCTGTGATGTTGTTTGTCTTTTCAGAATACGCACCCAACGGTTCTCTCTATGCCTACCTCACTAACCCTGAAAATCAGCTGGATTTTCAACAGATTCTCACCTGGGCCAAGGAAATTGCCACAGGTAAGTTACAGATTTCAACGTAAATGTTCAGGTGGGTGGGTCTCTCATCACCTCCCATGTAAACATTGAGGTGGGTGGGTCTCTCATCACCTACCATGTAAACATTGAGGTGGGTGGGTCTCTCATCACCTTCCATGTAAACATTGATGTGGGTGGGTCTCATGTGTTCTAAATATTGAGGTGGGTGGGTCTCTCATCACCTTCCATGTAAACATTGAGGTGGGTGGGTCTCTCATCACCTCCCATGTAAACATTGAGGTGGGTGGGTCTCTCATCACCTTCCCATGTAAACATTGAGGTGGGTGGGTCTCTCATCACCTCCCATGTAAACATTGAGGTGGATGGGTCTCTCATCACCTCCCATGTAAACATTGAGGTGGGTGGGTCTCTCATGACTACCCATGTAAACATTGAGGTGGGTGGGTCTCTCATCACCTCCCTTGCAAACATTGAGGTTGGTGGGTCTCTCATGACTACCCATGTAAACATTGAGGTGGGTGGGTCTCTCTCATCACCTCCCTTGCAAACATTGAGGTTGGTGGGTCTCTCATCACTTCCCATGTAAACATTGAGGTGGATGGGTCTCATCACCCCCCATGTAAACATTGAAGTGGGTGGGTCTGTCATCACCTTCCATGTAAACATTGAGGTGGATGGGTCTCTCATCACCTCCCATGTAAACATTGAGGTGGATGGGTCTCTCATCACCTTCCCATGTAAACATTGAGGTGGGTGGGTCTCTCATCACCTCCCATGTAAACATTGAAGTGGGTGGGTCTGTCATCACCTTCCATGTAAACATTGAGGTGGATGGGTCTCTCATCACCTCCCATGTAAACATTGATGTGGATGGGTCTCTCATCACCTTCCATGTAAACATGGAGGTGGATGGGTCTCTGATCACTTCCCATGTAAACATTGAGGTGGGTGGGTCTCTCATCACCTCCCATGTAAACATTGATGTGGGTGGGTCTCTCATCACCTTCCATGTAAACATTGAGGTGGTGGGTCTCTCATCACCTCCCATGTAAACATTGATGTGGATGGGTCTCTCATCACCTCCCATGTAAACAATTAGGTGGATGGGTCTCTCATCACCTCCCATGTAAACATTGAGGTGGGTGGGTCTCTCATCACCTTCCATGTAAACATTGAGGTGGATGGGTCTCTCATCACCTTCCATGTAAACATTGAGGTGGGTGGGTTTCTCATCACTTCCATGTAAACATTGAGGTGGGTGGGTCTCTCATCACTTCCCATGTAAACATTGAGGTGGGTGGGTCTCTCATCACCTTCCATGTAAACATTGAGGTTGGTGGGTCTCTCATCACCTTCCATGTAAACATTGAGGTGGATGGGTCTCTCATCACCTCCCATGTAAACATTGATGTGGGTGGGTCTCTCATCACCTTCCATGTAAACATTGAGGTGGATGGGTCTCTCATCACCTTCCATGTAAACATTGAGGTGGGTGGGTTTCTCATCACTTCCCATATAAACATTGAGGTGGGTGGGTCTCTCATCACTTCCCATGTAAACATTGAAGTGGGTGGGTCTCTCATCACCTTCCATGTAAACATTGAGGTGGGTGGGTTTCTCATCACTTCCCATATAAACATTGAGGTGGATGGGTCTCTCATCACCTCCCTTGTAAACATTGAGGTGGGTGGGTCTCTCATCACCTTCCATGTAAACATTGAGGTGGGTAGGTCTCTCATCACTTACCATATAAACATTTAGGTGGGTGGGTCTCTCATCACCTTCCATGTAAACATTGAGGTGGGTGGGTCTCTCATCACCTCCCATGTAAACATTGAGGTGGGTGGGTCTCTCATCACCATCCATGTAAAAATTAAGGTTGGTGGGTCTCTCATCACCTCCCATGTAAACATTGAGGTGGTGGGGGTCTCATCACCATCCATGTAAACATTGAGGTGGATGGGTTTCTCATCACCTTCTATGTAAACATTGAGGTGGGTGGGTCTCTCATCACCTTCCATGTAAACATTGAGGTGGGTGGGTCTCTCATCACTTCCATTATAAACATTGAGGGTGGATGGGTCTCTCATCACTTCCAATGTAAACATTGATGGTGGTGGGTCTCTCATCATGTTTCATGTAAACATTGAGGTGGGTGGGTCTCTCATCACCTCCCATGTAAACATTGAGGTGGTGGGGGTCTCATCACCATCCATGTAAACATTTAGGGGTTGGTGGGTCTCTCATCACCTTCCCTGTAAACATTGAGATGGATGGGTCTCTCATCACATCCCATGTAAACATTGTGTGATGTGGGTGGGTCTCTCATCACCCTTCTCATGTAAACATTGAGGTGGATGGGTCTCTCATCACCTCCCATGTAAACATTGAGGTGGGTGGGTCTCTCATCACCTCCCATGTAAACATTGAGGTGGGTGGGTCTCTCATCTCTTCTCATGAAAACATTGAGGTGGGTGGGTCTTTTATCACTTCCCTACCCGTGAAGGTCCGGGTTAGAATACTGATCTTCAGTAACCCATGCTTGTCGTAAGAGGTGACTAATGGGATTGGGTGGTCGCTCGCTGACATGGTTGACACATGTCATCGGTTCCCAATTGCGCAGATTGATGTTCATGTTGTTGATCACTGGATTGTCTGGTCCTGACTCGATTATTTACAGACTGCCGCCATATAACTGGAATATTGCTGAGTGCGGCTTCAAACTCAATGCACTCACTCACTCTTATCACCTCCCTTGTATACATTGAGGTTGGTGGCAGATTTGCAAGGGTTTTATCATGACCCGTGCTGTGGAGTCTAAACTGGACATGTGTGCAACTGAAAGTTTAGTCCACTGCAAACAGGTTGAGATTAGGATGATTTTAGAAGGTGTTGCATTCCTCCCCTTGATAGCATGTTAAGTATCTGCAGTAATGTAGTTGTTGCCAGTTGTTTGCCTGCATCCTGCGGTGTTATTTCAGGGATGCACTATCTACATTGTGAAGCTCCGGTCAAGGTGATACATAGAGACCTCAAGTCCAAGAACGGTATGTCGTTACCTGATCGCCAGTACTCAAAGTTAGCGATCTAACCCACCCAGCCACTGTGGCTTCCATTATAACTCCTTTACAGTATGGTGTAATCATAGCTTCAGCCGTGGGAGCAGTACACAATGTACGTCACCTTGACTACCACATTATTGTAAAAGTCGTGGTGGCTGAGTGGGTTAGATTGCTGACTTACTCTGAAAGTATGGGTTCGAATCCAGAATGGGATCAACTTAAATACTGTACTAGAATCTGTACTTTACTGATAAAGTGTAATCCCAGATATAACATCCGTTACAGTGTACAGAGTTGTTCTGTTCTATGTTATGACATCACACTTTTCAACTGCACTGTTTTCTATTTTACCCCATATGTTGAAATTCTCTATCTCATTCCATAACTGACATCAAGTAATGTAAAGATATACTCCCCATTATATGAAATGCTCAGTCTGTCTGTGCTGAACGAATATTATCGTTCTCCTTTCAGTCGTCATATCTGAGGACTGGTCTTGTAAGGTAAGTTTCATATGATATATACAAGAGAAAAATCTTGTAATGGTTACCTGTTACCGTTAGTGGTGGTCCGATTAATTGTAATAATCGAAGATTGGTCGCAGTGCCTAAACGACCAAGCAGTCGATCATGTTTTCTGATAATCAAACACAAACATTTTTGAACACTTGTTTGCATTGACAATATATTTCACAAGGTTGGTTTTGTCAGTTACATTTCATAAGCACTACAAGCACGTTCCAAGTCATAATTGAATTTATCTTAAAGGACTCCAGGAAATTTATGTTCCTAACATACTAGTCATCCTTTAAAGATTTGAAATTTACAAATGCATTTTGTGCTGTTTGCAAAACAACCCAAAGAACTACATGTTTTTTCTTTATTTCTTGTGCATTAACAAATAAACCAGGAAAATGACGATAACCAATTATTTTCGATGATTGATCGGTTGTAATGAACCAATCATCAATTAACCAATTCCCAACACTAGTTACCGTCAACCTTACCAGACAACAATCAACTGCAGCCACTGTGGTCGCGCCTGTGTTTCGTGGATCGGTCTCAACAGCCATGATAAGGACCTGAAGGCGACGTGGATACAATATTCATACATCTTCATACATCTTCATGCATCTTCATACATCTTCATACATCTTCGGGGCGGTGGGGTAGCCTAGTGGTTAAAGCGTTGGCTCGTCACGCCGAAGACCCGGGTTCGAATCCCCACATGGGTACAATGTGTGAAGCCCGATCTTGTGTCCCCTGCCGCGATGTTGCTGGAATATTGCTAAAAGCGGCGTAAAACCAAACTAAGTCAGTCAGTCAGTCATACATCTTCATACATTTTCATTTGCAAAGCAAAGCCTAACCTTACTTGAACCACAAGAAGAATCAAGGTTAGAAACTGTACACAGACACCTAAGCGCTGGTTGTCCTGGGCAACAGGGTGGATCAGGGGTTACATTTAGTGGCTCAGTTGATTTTGTATCATTATACCCTGATAGCATCCGATGTCACACCACACTGATAGTGGTTTGTCTGGTCCATACTTCATCATTTACATGTTGCCAGAACATTTCTGAAGTATTGGTGAAATGTAGCTGGAACATTGCTAAAACACTGTAAAAACAATCTAAAAACAGCTAAAATATTGCTAAAGTATTTCTTGTTGTACCATAAGCATACATACGTACGTACGTACATACATACATACATACATACATACATACATACATACATACATACATACATACATACATACATACATACATACATACATACATACATACATACATACATACATACATACATACATACATACATACATACATACATACATACATACATACATACATACATACATACATACTTTTATTCCCTCGATCATTGGATGTCCATCACCACACCACATCGTATTTTCAATCTCAACTCCCTGGGGATCATACAACTCTTGCTGCCTACTAGGCGCACCGAGTTAATGTGGCTTTCCCATCCTTATGAGGTACCCATTCACAGCTGGGTGGACTGGGACACATAGTCACAGTACTTTGTCCAAGTTTACTGCACTTGTACCTGCAACTAGGTGTTTGCATGTATTCATGTGGCCACCATCTGGTCATCTACCAACGGATTCATGGGTTCTTTTAAGTGCACACTGTGAATTTTAAAGCAACATGCATCCAATCCTGAAGACTCTATAGTGAGTGAGTGAGTATGGTTTTAAGCCACTATTAGCTACATTCCAGTTATATTACAGTGGGGGACACCAGAAACAATTGTGACACTGTCATGACACATGAACTGTATGAATGAATCAGGTGTTCTCTAACACCTCTGAGTAGTATACGTTGGTGTGAGACACTACCTTCATGACAGGGGTATAACTTCACAAACCACTGTCGTGTCACACACAAGTATTTAACACAGAATGCAAGTATGTCTTGTGTTGGAATATATAGTCAGTGCCAGTTTTTATTTTACAGCTGTGTGATTTTGGTGCTTCCAAGTTCATCGGCAGTACAACTAGGATGTCACTGGCAGGGACTTTCCCTTGGATGGCGCCAGAGGTGAGGTATATGACAAGGAGATGTTATAGCTGATAAATATTCAGATAATGAGGGGATATTTGTAACATAACATTTTGGAATATTATATATTTGATGTGTTTTTAATGTAAAAAATCACGCCTATCATCAGTATTTATTGCCATTGTAACTAGGGGTGGGTATTGCAGAGAATTTTCATATTGCGATATATTGCGATGCGAAAGCATATATTGCGATATGTATTGCAATATATTGCAAGAAGTATTTTTAAATAAAAAAACTACTCATAATCGAGTTAATGCTTGATTTATAAAGCATGAACACAACAAAATCACTATACTTGATTAAGCTTTAATAACAACTTTAATCATGACAAAATCAAAATGTAAATAATATTTGGCACAAATGAAACAAGGGAATATCCGAAGATTTCCGAGTGTTACGAAGTTTTCCAAATGCAAGTCAAAATATCGGTTTTCGATCAGCGTATTGCAATGCATATCGTTTTCATGTCTGAACTGGTAAATACCTGTAAACCAGTTATATTACGCAGCCCTAATTGTAACCATTGGTGTAGTTCACTTGCTCATTATATCAGTCAATTTGTTTATTTTTCCTCCAGGTGATTCAAAGTCAGCCTGTGTCTGAGTCCTGTGATACTTGGTCCTATGGTGTGGTAAGTCATGGCATCCACAATGTTGGCTCTGGTTCTTAAAAAAAATATAATCACGATGCCATTGAAAAATAAGTCAAGGTTCAGTGGACAGAATTTGCATACATTTTACTTCAGTCAAGTACGATGGGAACATTTCATGTAATGTCACAGCTGAATGCGACATTTAACAGTTGAACAAACTCACCCAGAAAATATAACATTACTCACAACTGGGGGCGGTGGGGTAGCCTAGTGGGTAAAGCGTTCGCTCGTCATGCCGAAGGCGCGGGTTCGATTCCCCACATGGGTAAAATGTGTGAAGCCCATTTCTGGTGTCCCCCTGCCGTGATGTTGCTAGAATATTGCTAAAAGCAGCGTAAAATCTCACTCACTCACTCACTCACTCACTCACTCACTCACTCACTCACTCACTCACTCACTCACTCATCCTCACTCACTCACTTAACTCCCGCCATAGGGAGAATACTGTTCCTCAGCCCACTCCAACTGATAGTATCTCACCCTGCTTAACTGTCTCACCCTTCTAGAAGTATCTCAGCTTTCTAAAAGTGTATGACCTTCTGAAAATATCTCACTGCATTCAAGTAGATCATCCTGCTAATATTTATCTTGGGATTTTTGTCTGTGGGATTATACACTTCTCCTATGGAATATAGTGGACATGGAATGGTTTGATTGTTTCCAATTTTTGTCACAATTGTAACAGGACAATCCTGTTTCCGGTCCTCAGGTCCGCAGGATTCAGGGGTTTAAAGTCATAATGACAACCAAACACGAGATTTTGCAAACCAAATAAATTTATTTCCAACTCAACTAATATATATCATAAAATCAACAATAAACTAAGTTAAATAAACAACAAAAATAATAATGCCTCCAAGGATCCTGAGAAAAGTGAAAACTCTATTAAATATACCTATACTATTGCCCCTTATCCCAACTTAATTCCCCAAAATAATGTTCCCTGCAAAATAAAACAAAAATTAACTACCATACATTATCTACCTAACATTATCTAACCAAAACTATATTTCTTCTATTAACTAAAACTTAAGGAACTTAAAACTCTGTTTGCCTAGTCTACAGAAACAATAGTGAATTTCTCACCTTTCTTGCCTCTGTAAGACCCCAGACTGCAGAGGAGAAACTAATCTGCCCTTTTATACCCATAACCTATAACTCTTACCCAATAAAAACCATGCTCTGAAAATTACCCAATAAATGCCTACAAAAGAAAAGTTCAGTGGAATGATCCCTCTGCTCATGAGATGCTCATGCACTGGCCCATCCCATTGCATAACAATGGGGAAGAAGCATACTAGGCACTTGCCTAGCGGGTCCTTACCCCTCAAGAGCTAAATGGACCAGCCCACTGAAGCCTAAGCCTGGTGTGTTATTTTTAGCCTAGCCTACACCTAACCCATTCTCTTCCCACAGAGGTTACTTGTCATATCTTCCTACGTAACCTCTGTTCTAATACTGCCATATTTCCCGGTTCTCGTAAAATCCCCTAGCGGCAAAAGATCGCAACACGAATTATCTCCCTTCTTTCTATCCAATCAGAACACGTGTTACATTGACTTAGATTCAACTTGACTAACACAAGCAAATGTGGGGCCACAAATATCCCTCCTCTGCCGGGGACTTGTGTTGATGTTACACACAAGACGTTTAATGGTTAGCTTGTCCGTTGTCAACGAGGGCGATGGAGACGCCACTGATCCGCCATAACATGACTGAGTTCTGTCTAGAAGAAACGTTTGCGCATCGCGCAGGGGAAGAGGTTTAGTTTTCTCGAAGCATACGGAAATTACCGAGGCCTTGTGAATGATCACTTTTGAAACAACGTCGCTGATTGCACAACTAAATCTGATTGCCTCCAATCACGAGTCTTGAACACTCACACCATGAAAGGGCCGTATTAGAACAGAGGTTACGTAGGAAGATATGACAGGAGTAACCTCTGTGGGAAGAGAATGCACCTAACCTTGTCCCAACCCTAAAAACAAGCCTAATTTCTACTAAGAAAATAACCCTACCATTACACAATATTACAGTTTGGTGTATCTACAGTTGTTGTATCTACAGGTGCTGTGGGAGCTACTGACTCACGAAGTGCCCTTTAGAGGAATTGAAGGCTTCCAGGTCGCATGGCTGGTGGTAGAGAAAGGGGAGGTAACTATATGGACAGCAGCAAGATCACAAATCTAGAGATTTTGCAAGATATATTATGTGGGCTTTATCGCGTATATACTGTATTACAGTGGAAGCTGTCTAAACCGGCACACGTCAGGACTGGATAAATGGTCCGGTTTTGACAGCGTGCTGGAATGTAGAGTTGACATGGTTACCTACGACTAGAACTAAACCAGTTTTATCACTCTCATATACATTGTTATAAGGTGGTTCTCTCAACTCACTAATTACATGTACAAGTACACCCATACTGAACTAAGATTAAATTATCTTTGTCGGCAACCATGTAGTTTCAACACAGGATTACTGACTCCTTGCCACGCGCCGGATTAGACAGCGCTGATTACTGTATAAACACATATTCGGGCGGCTCATTTCATGCCGAGATCCGGAATTGACAGCTGCCGGATTGCAGAGCTTTTAAATGATGATAAATGTACTAGCCATGGACGGGACTGAGATTTTATGCCGATGTTGACAACTTGCCGGATTGGACAGCTGCCGGTTTTGACAACTTCCACTGTATATATCTTATTCTGTTGTGATAAATAACTTAAACCCATTTCATTTTTACCACATCTTCATTTTGAGCTGCATGTTGGAGAAAATTAGTCCTCCAATAGCAAGAAATAGGAGGGTTGAAGGAGGTGACGACACATTCAATAAAGGCTTCTGTTTTATACCAAGGGATACATCTTGTAAAGTATATTCCTGATGTCATCTGCTCGAACAGCTGTAATTTCCTTTCAGAGGCTGCTGGTGCCAAGTACTTGTCCATCCTGTTTTGGACAGCTGATGAAAGATTGCTGGGAACTTGATCCGAAGAAGAGACCAACGTTTAAACAGATTCTTGCCCGTCTCGATGCCATGTTGCAGGATGGTAAGCAAGCCATGAATATTTATAACCCCCAAAATAGTGGAGTTGTCCCCCTTTGGTGGCAGGATCTGAAGACTCTGGTGGGTTCCCAGCTTTCCCCTGTTTCCACCATGTTGCAATGCTTGTGTTTCACCAGTAATTCAATGTGATATCTGTATGGTGATATGAACTGCGATAATATGGGAACTTGTGTTTGACAGTAATCAATGGTGATATGATAATAATGAATGTTTTGAGAGTGCATCACCACTTGCACTTCCTTAGGACCATAGTTGTTTGTACAGTAATCGCTCTTGAAATATGATTGGTGTATGACGTGAATTTGCATATGTACGAAATTTATTTTCAGACCCCCCAAAAATGGCTAGAAACAAACACTAAGAACTGTGTGCTGCAAGATGATTGTTATAATTAATGGTCTACAGTGATTTATTGACAGTCTTGAAAACTGTCTAAATCAAGAATGACACACCATGCAACGTGTATGTGGCTACTGCGTTGTGCACGTGTATCTGTTACGGTTAATAAATTTGCTGTGACAAAAGGTTTAAGAGTCCCCTTTGAACCAGCAAAATAGAACACAGACAAGTCTACAATATTCAATAATATATTGAAAAAACAAAGAGCAAACTACAATGAATGACAAAACAGATTTCAGGTACAATGCAATTGAGTCACAAATCTAAAATATTGGGTCACAAATCTAAAATATTAGCTCACCAGAGTCTTGACATTCACAGTGAGAACAAATACTAAAAGAAGGTTGTTTACAATGACAGCAGACAAGCACGGCCAGTCTTGAAATGTTAACTAACTTGACAATCGACAGTGGCAGACAGATGTTTATGTAACTCCAGTGATGTGATAAGTCCTGTCGCACAACACAACAACCAGTCTTTATATAGCTTTTACACAGTTCTCGAGCATTCTAGCAAAGCTAGGTTCCCTCATTATTCTCTCAGAACATTAGGCGATTTTCTCGAACATACGACCGGAAGTCAAAACAAAATAAAGCCAGCCAAGGGAGGCAACTCTGAAGTGCTCTCAAAAAGGCGTAAAAATACTATTGCCATTGAACATAAATGATGTGAGATCCGAGCCAAAACCCACACTCAAAACTTTAAACATTGTGACCCATAATAATTATCACTTAATCAATGTGATATTACAAATTACAAATTACAAAAACACACTCTCATAACACATCCCATGCATTGTGTTTAGGGGAGGTGATCAAGAGAATTGGTGGTGTGGTCATAAGATGTATGTCTTTGAAATGTTTGAAAACACTTATACTTCATATCCAAATTGAAATTTCAGTTCCCCTACTATTTTTTAAGAGTATACTTTGCAGTCAGCCATTTTGGTAGTCATGGATACAGGGGAGAAAAGTCACTTGTTCATCAATTTCGATGAAAGGGAGTGTCTTCTGCGAATGAGTTTCTCTGTAGACATTAATTGTATTACATCTTTGCTGGGTACACTGCATTACAGAAAAATATATCTTTTAAAACAGGATGTAGCAACATACTGGTGATACCATACAGTCGTAACTAATCATCATATCTCATGGTTTATGTCATGACCTTGGTTATTTTTTAATTCTTTTAGAAACCTTACCGGATCAAACAAACTCGTTCCTGGAACACAAGGAAATATGGAGGTAAGTACAACCGCAGTAGTATTTTATAGGTCTAAACAGAAATGTGTGAATGCTTTCCAATTGTTTAGTGATCTACCAGTATTTCTGAGTATTTCTGCCTTGTCACATGTCCGTAACGGCTCACATGTCTGAGCCAGCTCTTAGCATGTGTCTGTACCAGCCCTTGTCACATGCCTGAACTAGTCATTGTCACATGTCTGAACCTGTCATTGTCACATGTCTGAACAAGCCCTTGTCACATGTCTGAACCAATCCTTGTCACATGTCTGAACCCATCATTGTCACATGTCTGAACCAGCCCTTGTCACATGTCTGAACCAATCCTTGTCACATGTCTGAACTAGTCATTGTCACATGTCTGAACCTGTCATTGTCACATGTCTGAACAAGCCCTTGTCACATGTCTGAACCAATCCTTGTCACATGTCTGAACTAGTCATTGTCACATGTCTGAACTCGTCATTGTCACATGTCTGAACCAGCCCTTGTCACATGTCTGAACCAATCCTTGTCACATGTCTGAACTAGTCATTGTCACATGTCTGAACCAGCCCTTGTCACATGTCTGAACCAGCCCTTGTCACATGTCTGAACCAATCCTTGTCACATGTCTGAATCAGTCATTGTCGAATGTCTGAACCAGCCCTTGTCACATGTCTGAACCAATCCTTGTCACATGTCTGAACTAGTCATTGTCACATGTCTTACCCAGCCCTTGTCACATGTCTGAACCAATCCTTGTCACATGTCTGAACCAGCCCTTGTCACATGTCTGAATCAGTCATTGTCACATGTCTGAACCAGCCCTTGTCACATGTCTGAACCCGTCATTGTCACATATCTGAACAAGCCATTGTCACATGTCTGAACCCGTCATTGTCACATGTCTGAACCAGCCCTTGTCACATGTCTGAACCCGTCATTGTCACATGTCTGAACCAGCCCTTGTCACATGTCTGAACCCGTCATTGTCATGTCTGAACTAGTCATTGTCACATGTCTGAACCCGTCATTGTCACATATCTGAACAAGCCATTGTCACATGTCTGAACTAGCCCTTGTCACATGTCTGAACCAGCCCTTTTCACATGTCTGAACCATTCGTTGTCACGTGTCTGTACCAGCCCGAGTTATGTAATTGCTGTTGCAGGAAGGAGATACAGACGACCCTTGAGCGTCTGAAGCGAGCGGAGATCGAGCTGGGAGTTAAGGAGCGGGAGCTGAAGGAACGGGAGCTGAAGATCAAGGAACGGGAGAAGAACCTGGAACAGCAGTTTAAAGTTGTTGTAAGCAGACTCTACTGTAGGAACAGCAGTTTAGAGTTGTTGTAAGCAGTAGTCAATCTAACCTCATGGGATTCACACAATGTCATATACAGCTGGCCCATGGAGAATTCAGGGCCCCGATCCACAAAGCGTTCGTAGCACTACGACATTCGTAAACCTATGATAGACTCTAGAGTTACGACCTGTCGTACCGTTAAGAACGCTTTGTGGATCGGGCCCCAGGTCCTCGGGTCCACAGTACCCCTTGCATGTAACACTGAACAGTCTCCAGACAGGACATGTCCCCTGTATCATTATGTTGTCTCCCCAATGCCAGTCTCTGCAGAAGACAGTCACTCACATGCACACATGATCACTCATACAGACACACAGTCACAGACAGTCAAACACACGCAGACACACACTCCAATGTCTTCTGTTACACTTCCGTGCCATTGTACCCATATCCCTGAGACTTACTGAATCAACCAAGCAATGGTTTGTCAGATCCATGTTTTTATCCTGCCACAGTGATACACTGTCCATTCTGTAGTATCTATGACTGAATGTATTAGACTTAGGTGGGTATTCTTGTGTGACTCAATAACCAATCTGTGTATATTTCAGCAACTGGACACACATGATGTGAACACATGGCGTGAAGTAGATGTGGTAAGTTTGTCACATGGATTACATCATCCTTCCTTCCATAATGTTTCAACTCATTCCATTTAACCGGTGTGTGTGTGTGTGTGTGTGCGTGCGTGCGTGCGTGCTGCGTCGCGTCGCGTCGGCGTCGCGTCGCGTCGTGCGCATCGCGTCGCGTCCGTGCGTGCGATTCCCAGGGAGCTGAGGAAAGATAAGACATTTTTGTCTGACTCATGCCCAGATAGCATTCAGACGTTGGCCCAGCATTGCCAACATTGGACCAACGTCCAAATGCTATCTGGGTGGATCGTTTCTTCTTGTTCTGTTTATCTTTCTCACAAACATTGATAGCAGGAGAAACCATCCCTTCATATTGAACTGATGGATGTTTATTTGCACAATGTAGGAAGTATGACTTACATGGATGATATCCTACTGGCTCTCAATGTGGTCCTTCATGAGTTTATTCTGTGAACCTGAACAGATTTATTCTTTATATATCAGCAATGGTTTGCCTGTCCCAGACTCCAATGATCTTTGTAAACTGCTTGGATATGAAATATTTCTGAATGAAGTATAAACTCTAATACTCTCCAACTTTTCCATTCCAGTACCAGTGGGTGATGCAGCTGGGATCAGCAGGTACGTCAATACGTTTGTCTTATCTACAGACAGGTTACTGTCTGGAGGCACAGAGGGCACATTTGGGGACAGTATCTGGGGGGGATAGAGAGACATGATTCATGTTGCAGTGAATGGCGCTTTAGTATGCCAGAATTGAGGGCTAGTGTCTTGGTGTAACCCTGATCATGATTATAGATCTGTCAACCAATTGGGGGCGGGGGGTAGCCTAGTGGTTAAAGCGTTGGCTCGTCACACCGAAGACCCTGGTTCAATCCCCACATGGGTACACTGTGTGAAGCCCATTTCTGGTGTCCCCCGCCGTGATGTTGCTGGAATATTGCTAAAAGCGGCATAAAACCAAACTCAGTCAGTCAGTCAGTCAGTCAGTCAGTCACCCAATTGGTCTTTTTGAGGTTAATTAATGCCATAGAGGGAATTCTGTTCCAAGCGATGTCAACTTGTGGTGTTTGTCCTGTAAAGAATACAAAAGTGCCCTATGATCATATTTGACACATCCAAGTATTTGAAACATCCAAGTATTTGACACATACAAATATTTGACTCATCCTGGTATTTCAAACATTCAGGTATTTCGACACATACAAACATTTGACTCATCCAGGTATTTCAAACATTCAGGTATTCGTCACATACAAACATTTGACTCATCCAGGTATTTCAACATTCAGGTATACGACACATACAAACATTTGACTCATCCTGGTATTTCAAACATTCAGGTATACGACACATACAAACATTTTACTCATCCTGGTATTTCAAACATTCAGGTATACGACACATACAAACATTTGACTCATCCAGGTATTTCAAACATTCAGGTATACGACACATACAAACATTTGACTCATCCAGGTATTTCAAACATTCAGGTATACGACACATACAAATATTTGACTCATCCAGGTATTTCAAACATTCAGGTATACGACACATACAAACATTTGACTCATCCAGGTATTTCAAACATTCAGGTATACGACACATACAAATATTTGACTCATCCAGGTATTTCAAACATTCAGGTATAATGACACATACAAACATTTGACTCATCCAGGTATTTCAAACATTCAGGTATTCGGTCACATACAAACATTTGACTCATCCAGGTATTTCAAACATTCAGGTATACTACGACACATACAAACATTTGACTCATCCAGGTATTTCAAACATTCAGGTATACGACACATACAAACATTTGACTCATCCAGGTATTTCAAACATTCAGGTATACGACACATACAAACATTTGACTCATCCAGGTATTTCAAACATTCAGGTATACGACACATACAAACATTTGACTCATCCAGGTATTTCAAACATTCAGGTATATGACACATACAAATATTTGACTCATCCTGGTATTTCAAACATTCAGGTATTTCGACACATACAAACATTTGACTCATCCAGGTATTTCAAACATTCAGGTATTCGTCACATACAAACATTTGACTCATCCAGGTATTTCAAACATTCAGGCATTCGACACATACAAACATTTGACTCATCCAGGTATTTCAAACATTCAGGTATACGACACATACAAACATTTGACTCATCCACGTATTTCAAACATTCAGGTATACGACACATACAAACATTTTACTCATCCACGTATTTCAAACATTCAGGTACTCGACACATACAAACATTTGGCACATGTAAGTATTCCCCCCATCCTAGTATCCATTCTGTACATGTGTTTCTGCTGACAGACCACACCCGTGACTTGGTCCAGTATGCCGACCGATTCCTGCAGCATAACATTAATGGACGGCGCCTCCTGAAACTCTCACAGAACGATCTGACGATCATGGGTGTTAAAAGCCACGGACATGTTCTGGATCTACATGTAAGTTTACGACAGGGCATCAAAAGTGGAAAGCGATCGCTCAATGTTAGCGCATCACAACATCACCGTTAAGCTCAGCAGATCACGCTATCCCATGCTTTTTATTGTAAGTGGGTTTGAAAACTATCTCTGAAATATTGGATGGATGGCCTAGTCGCATAAGGTAGCGGAATTTGTATTGGAGAGTTGTGTCCCTTGATATCGAATCCCGGCCCGCCCGCATCTGTGTTCCCAAAGTTTGTCAGCACCAAACCAGTGCTCGACTTAAACCTGTACCACTTCGGACTCCCCTCCCACATCACGCTGACATGCTGTGATATAACTGATATAACTGATATAATTACAGTTATAACTAAATCTGTGTGACGTTAAATTTTAACTCACTCACTCACTAAATCTGTAACTGAAACATGTTAGCCTTAAGTGTTCTTGTAGGTACTGCCACAAATTTCTTGTCTTGCTGTATCATCAGGGGCGGTGGGTTGGCCAAGTGGTTAAAGCATCCGCTCATCACACCGAAGACCCAGGTTCGATTCCCCACATGGGTACAATATGTGAAGCCCATTTCTGGTGCCCCCCGATGTGATGCGGGAATATTGCTAAAAGTGGCCAAAAATCATACTCACACTCTTTCTTGCTATATCATCATATAATACTCTCACTGCGTACTAATATTATATATGTTTTCTTTTTTCAGATGGAAATTAGTTTATTGAAAGCTCATAACCAGAGATTATTAAACTTTCCCCCTCTCTCAATGGTGAGTAACCTTGTAACCTTGGTAACAGAAAGATGGTGTGTTTTATGGAATTTAATATTGATATCTTCTGATAGTCTGGTGTTTGTCCAGCAAGTTGCTGTAGGGAATATTCATGTCTGCCAGAACTGGAGATGATACATAACAAACGGTGTTTTATCCCCACAGGAGCAGAGCGCAGCACAGGCCGGGAACTCGGATTTCAAGACCGTCACGCTCACTCTCATCTTCGGCCATCATGTACGGCATGGTAAAACCCCTCAGGTCAGTACAGGCAAGCCAGGTAGTCAGTATGTGTCTACTAGTCATGGGTCTCAATCTATTGCAATAATGATGCATATTAGTATCTTGATTTCTGTGATTGAAACAGTGAAAGTAAAACATGACAGCATCCTTTGTATAATGTGTGTATTACACATGGGTTATGTGTAGGATAAAGTACGACTCCGAGGTTATGGTTGGGAAAGTAAGACCCGATACCGGAGGGTGGGGAGAAGTAAGATCGAGAGCGTGTAGCGCTTGAGGTCTTACTTCTCTCCACCCGATGGTCGAGGGCTTACTTTCCCAACCATAACCGAGGAGGAGTGCTTTATTATACATATAAACCGTCAATGATGGATAATTAGATGATCATGTAATGAAGCTACATAACAGTAACTGAAGCGCTAGTAAACTCAATTGAATGACAGTAGGCCTAACTATAAATAGATAATTCAACCCCCATTCTTTGTTGGCCTGGTTGCTGTGAGGTAAAGCGTCAGCTTATGAATCTGAAATATAAGGTTCCAATCCTGCTTGGGAAAACATTTGCACTTTTAAGTTGATCTTTGACGATATTTTTCAAATGATTTCAAAACACTCACATATAATTTGAATGTTGATGTCAATATAGAATTAGGAAAAAGTAAAACCTGGGAAGAGGTCTTACTTACAAAAGTAAAACCAGGAAATAGGTCTTATTCCCAAAAAGTAAAACCTGAGAGCAAACAAAAACCTCAAGTGCGGTTATTCCGGGAAAAGAAGCCATGTCTAATATATCGTGAGAAGCACCCTTCAGGTTTATATGACACTAGAAACTTCCACCAAGTCTATGGACAACGACAGTGTTGTCAATGATAATTATGCAGATAGGGAGTGGAGAAAGTCTGAGGTATGAGTTCATTCATGTTTAACAAGGTTTATAACAAATTACAGATGAGAAAATCTATGCAATATATTATGTCTTATAAAACTATTTCAGAATATCGTAGGTTTAATTAGTAAATATTGAGATGGATATATGATTGTGTGTGATTTAAGAACACAATATACTGGCACTATTGAAATATACTGAACATCATTGAAAACGCACCACCTGTATTAGTTTGGATTTCCAAGAGCATAAATGAGCAATCGGTGTAAATTTTACATACTTTTGTAGTCCAATGTTTGGTAAAGAAAAGAAACAAGAATCAATCCAGCAAAACAGTGAAGTTTTAATTCAGCTGACCATGAAAGAAAGATGGAGTCAAATTGGAAAGTCAGTAACGTGTATGACCACCGTTAGCAGCAACACAAGCTGTCCTCATTGAACTGATGAGTCTCTGAATACTGTTTTGAGGCAATGCATTCCACTCTTGTTGCAAGGCATTCTCAAGTTCCCCAAGGTTGTTGATCTGTGGGCGATGTGAGAGGCATTGGCCGATGTAATCCCACAAGTGTTCAATGGGAGACAAGTCTGGTGACAATGCAGGCCATGGAAGTAGAGGAATGTTGTTGTTTGCCAGAAACTGTGTTGTAACATGTGCAGTGTGCGCTCGAGCATTGTCCTGCTAGAATGTGGGCAGATCTTGATGTTGGTTAAAGAAGGGAACGACGTTGTTCTGAAGAATGGTGTCACGGTAGTAAAGGGCATTCACTCTGACATGACAAACTACCAGAGCGGGTTTTGTGATGATAACTGATCTCACCCCACACCATAATGCTTCCTCCACCCCACCGATCTGTTTGCACAACACAGTCTTGATGGTAACGCTCTCCCCGTCGACGCCATACCCATAGATGCCCGTCAGCATTTCGTCAAGTGAAAACGTGACTCGTGGGAGAACACAACACTATGCCAACGTCGTAACAACCACAAAAGATGCTGTTCAGCCCCTAGTCGTGGTTCACGGTGATGTCTATCAGTCAGGATGGGTCCAACCTAAGGGCGTCAACACCGTAATCCTGTCACACGGAGACGGCGTTGGAAGGTGGAAGAATTGATCAAACCACGTCGGCCTTGGACAGTGTTGGCGGTTCTGGCAGCCGCAACGTACGATCCCGAATATGGCACCGAACAATGTCTCGATCTTGGTGAGGGGTGGTAACACGTGCCTGGCCAGGACGTTGGCGGTCCCTGGTGGTTCCTGTTTGTTGGTACCTGTTGGCAAGTCTTATGATGGTGGAATGATGGCAACCAAATCGTCTGGCAATAATCCTGTTTGATGTGCCAACCTGCAACATGCCCAGTGCCCGTTCTCTTTCCTCTGGTGACAATCTTGGCATTGCAAAATAAACTTTACTTGCGGAGGTACAGCTAAAATGAGAACGGTATTTTGCCGACGGTCATTTGTACCCCTAATCAGCATGTTTTACTCATGCAATCTGTGCTTTTCATGTGTGTTGTGCAGGAATTTTGTTGTTGTCATGTGATGTGTTCGATGATGTGTTCGGGCAATCCGTTCTTACTGTACAGCAGTATTTATTGTCCCCCACCGCAACGCAGAACGGGGGGACTATGTATTCAGCAGCCTCCGTATGTATGTCCGTACGTACATCTTAATTTTTGTAAACGCGATATCTCATGAACTGTTATACCCAATGTCTTCGAATTTGGTGACAGCCTACATTGGGGGATTGCCCAGACACCGGTTATTTTGGGTGACCTTGACGTTACTTTCAAGGTCACCACGACACTTTGACCACTTTTCAAAATCTTGTTAATGGGATATCTCATGAACTGTAGCACCCAATGTCTTCAAATTTGGTGACAGCCTAGATTGTGGGATTACCCAGACACCAGTCGATTTGGGTGACCTTGACTTTATCTTCAAGGTCACCATGACACTTTGACCACTTTTCAAACTCTTGTTAACGTGATATCTCATGCACTGTTGTATGCAATATCTTTAAATTTGATGACAGCCTACATTGGGGGATTACGCAGGCACCAGTTGATTTGGGTGACCTTGACTTATCTTCAAGGTCACCACGATCCTTTGACCACTTTCAAACTTATTTAAACGCGATATCTCATAAAACATTGCACCCAATGTTTTCAATGATGTTGACAGCCTACATTGGGTGATTATGCAGACACCAGTCATTTCAGGCATCTTGTATGTGACAAAAAAATAAAAAATAGTAAATATAGATATTCCATTCTTTAGCGGCGGGGGACATTGCCATATCCAAACACTTGTTGTCTTTTGTGTTATTAACAACATTTTTAAACTTATCGTATCTCACGATTTGCACTTCTCTCTCTTGCTTCGACACAGAACTTTTCCTTTTCAACGCTGAGTGGAACAAATGAGTACTTTTCCTGTAGGCCTCTCTTGTCCATACGCCAGTGTTCCCTAGGCTGCTCTCTTTATAGGACAGGTCCCTAGTCCCTGTCTACCCACCTGACTACCTCAGAGTGATCATTCTTCTTCTTGTCGCACCACTGTGTGGACGTATTGTGAGAGTTCTCAGCTTTCCTTACAAGTTAACATGAGAACTATATCATGGGTAGTTGACCCAAAGTAGCGTAATTTTGCGCTCACTGTAAAAATATTTACTTCCTCGGATCCCACTCGTCATGTGTGGGTTGTATTGACCTGTGTTCCTGAAGCAAACATTGTCGGGAATGTGCTCCCTTATCAAGGACGTTCTTAGAGCATATAGACATGCTTGCTCCCGTTGGCTGGCAGACAGAGCTTGTTACACTTCAACAGTTGATGACCCGACAAAACCCCCGATTTCAACGACCAGTATTAATTGCTCGTCATTTGGAGATTCCCATGTTGCAAGGTGATGATTTTATTGGCGCATCATCAGATGTCTACTCGCAGTTCCGCCTCATTGAACCGCTCTGTGTTGCCAGCCGACTCACAGCCGATCTACATCGTCAAATCGCCGAATGGATTCACCAGGCCAAACTGTTTCGCCAAGGCGTATTGGATCACGACATCGACTCAATTCGCCATATATAAGACTGTTTCTTATCGCCGAAACGGTTCACAGCATCGGTTCGATTCATCGCACCGAAACAGTTCGCCTCACCATAACGGCTTTCTTCACCGAACGAGTCACCTCGTTGAACCAATTCACCTTGGCCGGAACATTTCACCTCACCAGTTCATCTGATCGTCCTAGATCTCTCCAGCAGCTGAGATCATTTAAACGTTTCGGACTACCAAACCGATCCAGATCACAGTCGCGATCCAGATCACATCAATGTTCCGGCTCACCATTCTGAATCAGATCGCTAAGCTGAACTGATTTACTAGCCCGACTCGTCCCGTTTCACCAGGCCGAACCGCCTCATATCGCCAAAACCAGTTCACCTGGCTGTTCAAGATCACTGAATCGTCAGCATTCATCGAACTGTCAGCATTTGTCAAAAGTTCCGTTCCTCGGACCTTGCCTACCAATTGAGTTGATTCAACGAATTCGGCGATTCACCACTCGTGTTATTTCCAACACGGCGCATCTTACCAGCCTATTGGTTCGTCAGAGCCTATGCAATTGTGTCTGGGATGCCTCCCAAGACACTTAACCCTCATCGAACTTCGTCTTTGTTTGCATGGTTTGGCTATGCCAGTCACCTGTAAGATGCAGGAATTGTTTTAGTTGATTTGACACACATAATCGCTTGGTTCGCCGACCACCTACAGTAACCTAGAGGAAAATACCAGATGTTCTATTTATTACATTCAACATGAAGGATCGGGACTTGTCAACACTGGTTTTTAACATCCTCAACGAGGATCGTGAACTTGCATCTAGATACGGCCAAATTTGTCGAACTCTGCTAGTTTTCAACACGATCCTAGTTTTCAGGGCATCTGTGAGGCGCTGAATTCCTCACCATGGAGTGGCAAGCTCTAAGCACGACAAACAGATTTGTTTATCCGGTTTACCTTACGGCTTGTGAGGCGTTTAAAGTTTTTAGTCACATAACTTATCCCACCTGGTACCCTTTTTCTGCTGAGGTATTTGCTATGTGCTTCACCATGCTGAATCGATTCACATTTGATGTCAGTAGCGCAGTCATCTAGACATATTATGCTGGGCACTTGACGGTCTGACGGTCCGAGTTCTCAAGAGTCCTCCGTGACCCGGACTCATATCATTCCAGATTTAGTCTACCATCCAATCTTCACCTTTGATGAATGATTCGGTTCAAAGAATCTATCTTCGGCGCAGATGTCAGCACTACAACCACCCGATAGGGCATTACTAGATAAGCTTGCTAGCCAGGAATACTTTACGACGCTTCACTGAGTCTTGTTACTACAGACTACTCGTAACAGCGTTTCTGTGTATCGCTGGGTGCAATCATTGCAGATGGTTCGTCATCTTCAGCACCCTGCGTTTTACATCATCAGCAAGTTTCTGGACAGATGACAGATGTGTCAAGTTTTTGTGCATGGTACCAGCAGTGATGTCTTGTCAAGTAGTCAGCATAGCGCAGCCCAGAATTTATGGGTTGTGACTCGCCCGGTTAACCGAAGACTGTGTTGTCCAGATTTTTGTCGCATTGTGGGTAATGTTTGCAAATGGCGGACTACTGTTTGTTTACCCGAATTTTGATGATTAGAGTATGAAGTGCCCTGGCAGACTTTTCTTGGTCCCACAAGTCGGATATCAAGTCCAGCCTTCAAAGGCTAGTAACAATGAACAGTGCCATTCCCGGAAAGAATGATTGTGTCGGGATTTCGTCAGCCAGTCGAGAGAGACTGCTTATTTAGGGTGACAGACAGAAACACCCATGAACAGTTTGACTTTGGCTGGGGTTACGCGGTTTTCTACACTAGCTCAAGCACTGAGTTCAAAGGTCACTGCAGTTATGTCCAGACTGTCACCAGGCAGCGATCTACTACCTTTATCACTCCACCTGGCGAACCATCATTTTGTTCGGCCAACCAAAACGTTCCTGAGGTCACCAATCGTACGAATTTCTTCACTTCGTTTACAATGTGAATGTTCCTGTACATTGACTGACAATCTCCATGCGCCGAACCTACTACATTCAGCACTCCATTAGTACTGGCATGGTAGCTGGACTAATTGAACGTTCCTATCTCAGGAGATATCTCTTTGTCAGAGGCAAGAGTTGTTAGACCTCTCATTTCCCTAGACCTGTGAGACGCCTACCTTCACATCCCGATACATCCAGACTATCGGAAGTATCTTCGATTTACTTTCAAGGGGCGTCATTGATACCAATGGAGGGTCCTGCTGTTTGGTATATGTACGGCCTCGTGGCTTTTTACTCAGGTACCCAATCCGATAACAAGATACCTGCATTGTCGAGGCATGACATTTGAGAACTATATCAACGACTGTGTTCATGCCCGGCAGGATCCAGTCGTCCTTCAACTCCACAGGCAGTTCATCATCAAGTTGCTCGCGCTGAATTAGGAGCAATCGGAGGTAACAACGACCCGGTGATTACTTTTTATTGGGACAATTTTCAAAACGACAGGTCATGATGTTTGTGCCCCAGTTTGTCACGTCCCAAACACCCCTCACTCACGGAGTGGAAACAACTGCCTCTGATATTCCAATCGAAGATCTACCTGTTATCACGACCAGATGTAGACCTGTTCGCCACTCGGTACAACCATCAGCTTCAGCGCAGATGATCACCAGTTGCGATCATTGCTGCTTTGTGTACAATCTGAATAAAATTCTGAATTTTATTTCTGATTTGTGTCTTCGATTCTTCGGGGACTACGATTTTTCCTCTCAATTTAATTTGACACTCTGGAGAGTCGCCACCTCACTCACTGTCGTCTGCTCTGTGGAGTAATTACATCAGTGAAGTGAGTCATTCCCGAAGTGTTACACTTCGTAGCGTTCATGCTCCTAAGTACCTATACACATCTATGTGATCTTACAGTGGTAAGTAGTGGAAGTCATAAGATGTGGTACTGAATGTTAAAATTGTGAGTTTTCCAATTCAATTACTCTTTCACCCTCCTCAGGACGGTGTCTGTGGGGGTTGTTTCGAAGCAGGGGCTGGCCCGATACTAGTCATTAGATTACTGATTACACTCGCTAAGCTGCATCCTTTCTCTTTTCGTGAAGGTAGTGACTGAACACCATATTGGTCGGGAGTCCCGGTCCCTGGGAGCAATTGTGCTTAGTAAGTCAATGGGTTCGAACTAACCATCACACGTAGTGACCTTGGTAGTTATGGGCCTACCTTGTCGTTGCTCCCTACGTACGGATGTAGAAGTGTTCGACAATCTCGCTTGCTGACCTCTATTCCACGGAGCAATCACGTCAGTGAAGTGAGTCCTTCCCGATTTCCTTATGGATTTCGTAGTGTTCAAGCTCCTAAGTACCTTAGCACACCGTTGTGACCTAACTGTGGTAAGTAGTGGAAGTCATGTGGTGTTGTTTTGGTACTGAACGTTAAACTTGTGAGTTTTTCCGATTTAGTTTCCTCTTCCCCTCTTCGTGATGGGGTCTGGGGGTCTGTCTCGAAGCAGGTGCGGGCCCGATTTCTAGTTGTAATCTGATAAATCGCGTGAGAAGCAAGGTGACTTGTAATCTGATAAATCGCTGCGAAGCAAGGTGACTTGCCTAGTTTGGTTTCTTGCGTATGCGAGGGAACCCATCACTAGTTGCTGCTGAACACCACATTGCTCAGGAGCACCCACTCCTTAGGAGCGATGGTGCCTAGTAAGCCAAGGGGTTCAGGAGAACCCATCACTAGTATAGGATCTATGCTAGTCAGATCTGGCCTCCCTTGTTCATTGCTATCTATGGTTGTCAGTAGCCTATACAGTATATACTGTCAGTGCCTTTTGACTTTGGGTAATCTGCGACCCGCCGTCCAACCATGGGATAAGTGCAAATCGTGAGATAGGATAAGTTTAAAAATTTGGAAATTTTAACATAAATTGTATATTTATATACTTATCCTATCTCACGCGATGGATGCCCACCCACCCTTCCCTCTACTCAGATTATGATGGTTACATATAACTGTCATTGGCTCCAAGAAGAGAATGATCACTCTGAGGTAGTCACTTGGGTAGACAGGGGAATGTGCTGCACGCTTAGCCAGGGACTAGGGACCTGTCCTATAAAGAGAGCAGCCTGGGGAAGAGAGGCCTACAGGAAAAGTTCTCATTCGTTCCACTTAGCGTCGAAGCAAGAGAGAGAAGTGCAAATCGTGAGATAGGATAAGTATATAAATATACAATTTATATTAACTTTCCAAATTTCCAACGTTCATTTTCACTCTCAAAACAATCCTATGACCATATTTCAAAATTTACAGGTGGTGCGTTTTCAATGATGTTCAGTATATATTCTGATACATATTCATTAGTATATCAAGTCATGATATGCCGGTAAAGTGGTAATACTGTGCACCACTTTTGGGTCCTGCCTGTTGACTCACTCATTGTGTTTTGTAGGAACACAAGTGGAAGATGTACCTGGAGCTTGACGAAGATGATGATGATGTTACTGCTGACCCTCTGACTCTCATCAAGGAGGTGGTGTTCACCTGCAAAGTGCCAAACTATGGCTCCTTTAAACTGAAACAGGTGGGTGATGGTGATGATGATGACAGTGGTGATGATGATGACAGTGGTGATGATGATGACAGTGGTGATGATGATGATGATGATGGTGATGATGATGACAGTAGTGATGATGATGACAGTGGTGATGATGATGGTGATGGTGATGATGATGACAGTGGTGATGATGATGACAGTGGTGATGATGATGATGATGGTGATGATGATGACAGTGGTGATGATGATGACAGTGGTGATGATGATGGTGATGATGATGACAGTGGTGATGATGATGACAGTGGTGATGATGATGACAGTGGTGATGATGATGACAGTGGTGATGATGATGACAGTGGTGATGATGATGATGATGGTGATGATGATGACAGTGGTGATGATGATGACAGTGGTGATGATGATGATGATGGTGATGATGATGACAGTGGTGATGATGATGACAGTGGTGATGATGATGGTGATGATGATGACAGTGGTGATGATGACAGTGGTGATGATGATGACAGTGATGATGACAGTGGTGATGATGATGACAGTGGTGATGATGATGACAGTGGTGATGATGATGACAGTGATGATGATGATGATGATGATGGTGATGATGATGACAGTAGTGATGATGATGACAGTGGTGATGATGATGACGGTGGTGATGATGATGATTATATGTTTTTTTGCATCATTCTTATATAAAATGTAAAATACCTTGTGAATTTACTGAGACTTTGCAACACCTTGTCAGTGGATGCCCAGCCATGGCAAACACAGTATCTTAAATGACATGATGATATGGCTTGGATTGTGTTTTTCACAGAGAGGACCATCCATATAATGGGCATCATAGAAAATGACATTTACAAAACTCTTATGGATGTATCCAGACCAACACCTTGTTCTAGATTGTAGCAAACACTCACAATCATGATACAATCTTCATAAATCATTGACCAACCTTATTATGTTCCCAAACACAAATCTTGTTAAAGTATGCCTAAATATATGTTTTCTTAATTTTCTCTAGCCTCCGTTTATCATGGAGAAGTGGTGTCTGGGTATCGAGCCAGCCATGACTATTGAATGTGTCGTTGCATATGAGGTGAGTGGTTGATGAATACCAGTACCCCATGCTTTTCTGTCTTTGTTTTGGATTGAGACATAAACACCAGTGCTCCATGGTTGTCTCCCTTTGATTGGGATTAAGACATGAACCTCTAACCCATGCTTGTCTCCCTTTGTGAAGGATTCGGACTACAGGTTACACAACACCAAATGTTTATCCATAGACTTCTATAGTAACCTTATATTTTTTTTTAATTTCCAGGCTATCAACAGCCATTCCATGTACACATGGGTACACTCTGGCCTTTAAACTACAATAAAACACAATTTCTGGTCAAATTGTCTGGCTAATATTCCGAGCACAGGAAGCGGAACATATCAACCCCAGTTCCGCACCAAATTTCACCTACTGGAAAATATCTGTACACACAATAAGCATAAGTCATGGTGATAAAAATGGCAGAACTAAATACTTAAAAGTGTGGTAAGTTTTAATTACTGGATGGATGTGTTTTATAAAACATAAAAATATTACACTATTTCATCCAATCACAGCTGTCGTATGTCTCTATCTCTTCAGTTGTTTACATACGGTTCTCCCTCAGGAAGCATGTGATTCTGATTTAGTGTAGTGGAACCAGAAAGACCAGTACCCCATGCTTGTCTCCCTTTGTTTGGGATTCAGACATGAAAACCAGTACCCTATGGTTGTCTCCCTTTGTTTGGGATTCAGACATGAAAACCAGTACCCCATGCTTATCTCCCTTTGTTTGGGATTCAGACATGAAAACCAGTAACCCATGGTTGTGTCCCTTTGTTTGGGATTCAGACATGAAAACCAGTACCCCATGCTTATCTCCCTTTGTTTGGGATTCAGACATGAAAACCAGTAACGCTATGGTTGTGTCCCTTTGTTTGGGATTCAGACATGAAAACCAGTACCCCATGCTTATCTCCCTTTGTTTGGGATTCAGACATGAAAACCAGTTATGCCATGGTTGTGTCCCTTTGTTTGGGATTCAGACATGAACAACAGTTCCACATGGTTGTCTCCCTTTGTTTTGGATTCAGACATGAAAACCAGTACCCCATGATTGTCTCCCTTTGTTTTGCATTCAGACATGTAAACCAGTACCCCATGGTTGTCTCCCTTTGTTTTGGATTCAGACATGAAAACCAGTACCCCATGATTGTCTCCCTTTGTTTTGGGATTCAAACATGAATTACAGTTCCGCATAGTTGTCTCCCTTGGCTGGGTATACAGACATGAATAACAGTTCCGCATAGTTGTCTCCCTTGGCTGGGTATACAGACATGAACACTACTTAATGTAGGAAGGAACAAAACATACATCAGTCCCCATCAGTGAGTCTGCCACAGGAGACATTTTTGAAATATTGAAGCATCAAACAAGACTCATTCCTTCATTGGCTACATGGAATTATGATCAGAATGTATTGTGTTTTTTGTTCTACTGGTAAATTGTGAGTTTGGATGTTTGATCCCGGGGCACATGTGTCCATGACATGGTAATTCAACGCTGTGATATAAGTGACTCACTCACCCAAATCCATACAAATCATATAACATTAGTTCTTTGCCTCTTCAATCAGTCTAAAGTTTGTTTTGATCTCCTCCCAGGCGAGCGTCAAGAAGCCGAAGATGACCCGACATCTACATCACCTGGATGCCTCCAACTCTGCTCCACAGCAGAAAGCTGTCACCTTGACCCTCGAACAGACAGAGGTGACAGCAGACTTTCCCAAAATCCCTTCCCCCGTCACACCGCGCCGCCCCTCAAGCTCCCCACAGCTCCAAGGAGACTGGCACAGGAGGGATTCTTTACGGTCTTTCCACATCGACATCCCAGAACACCCTGCTGGTGAGTTCAGACATGTTGTCATCTGTACTAAACAATGGATCAGTAGGGTCAGGAAATATAGCTGAACCTTCCACCTGAACTTTAATCTTTCCCCTGAACTTGTATTGTGCCCTTGTACTTCGCTCTGAGCGTTTATTGGCTCTGAACATTCTCCTCAAACTTATATTGTGCCTGATACAGCTTGCATAACACTGAACATATGAACTACTCCTTGACAATGCCTGTATGTTCCAGTGAAGTCCGACCTGTGGTCAAGTGTCGTGGCTGGGAGGAAGCCTTCCCTGACCTCGCTCCAGCTGAAGCCCATCCCGGGGACCAACACGTCACTCTACACCCCACCCCCCTTCGACTGCAGCAGTCACAACCAGTTCCCCACCACCCTTGGTTCCTCATCACCCAGCAATCCCCTCGATGACCAAGGTCAAAGTCAGCGGGGAGCCAAAGTCACATTTTTCCTTGAAGGGGAGTCTTCTGGGAGTAACGAGAGTGGATTTAGTGAGACTCCTCAGCCCCAGACTCCAGGGGCTGCTAAGGGAATGAGGACCTATTCCGACGCCTGTCGTACGGAGGACGAGGGTGGGACAGGGAGACCAGCTTGTGGCCGGAACAGGAAGAATGTCAGCAAGGGGGATGGTGAGGATGGGCCCATGAGTGAGGGGTCCTTGATGAAGGTGGCCAGCGAACCGAAGCATGGGAGTCCTCCTCATCAGGAGCGGAACTATCGGCGGACTGTCAGTGATGGGCCACCGAACAGTAGGGGGTGGGGGAATAGGAGGGGAAGAGGGTTGTACATTGACAGGGGAGGGAGGAGCAGGGGGCGAGGTTATGATGGGTATAGGGAGCAGGAAGGAGGGAGGGTGGGGGGCTAGGTATAGGGGAGGGGTTATGAAGGACACAGGGGCGGGGTAATGATGAGTTTAGAGAACAGAGGTATGATGGGTACAGGGATAGAGGGCGTGGTTCTGAAGGGTCTAGAGGGCGTGGTTCTGAAGGATCTAGAGGGCGTGGTTGGGATGGGTCTAGAGGGCGGGGTTGGGATGGGTCTAAAGGGCGGGGTTATGGTGTTTCTAGAGGGGGAGCTGGTAACAACTACAGGCAGAGAGGGAGAGGTGATGATAGTTTCAGAGAACGTGGGTATAATCGAGGTCCACACAGGACAAGTAGCAAGGGAAAAGAGGAGTATGAGGAGGTATATGATAAAGAGGGTGAGGTATATGATAAAGAGGGTGAGGTATATGATAAAGGTGTAGAAGGAAATCACAGAGGGCATGGGCGATGGACAGGGACTCATGGTTGGAGACAGAGCAGCAGAGAGGAGTTTGAAGAAGAGGAAGGAGGTGGGTCTGTTAGGGGGAACCGGAGGTACGAGGAACGTGGGTCAAGACACAGTCGGGGCAGGGGTAGTGGAGGGAGACGGGGGGGACAGAGGGGAAGAGCAGGAAACCATAGGGGAGGAGGGATCACGGACAGTCAAGACTCAAGACTGCATCCTGCTGAACCTACTGGTTCACAGACAAATCAGGGTACAATTCTTAGCCCTGGCACCTTGTCATTAGACACTACAGACATTCGTGAGGAAAGAAACCCCAGCCCGGAGTGGACCGAGATCAGACGGAGTCGCAGCACAAGTCAAACTTCCAATACTTCCAATTGCTCATCCTCAGGTCAAAATCCAAGGTCACATAGTCTTCATGGTCAGGACTCTCCGAGAAGAAATTACCCACCACGTCCATCACAGACAACATCCACCCAGTACACATAATGTGTTATTTGTTAGGGTATTTCTCATGTGAATTGTAAATAGTTTAATTCTAAGTTATTTTAAAGACAAGTGTTTGACTCCACAATGACGAAGACAATATTTGTACTGAAAATCTTACCCAAGTCCTTCATCAAAAACGTCATCATTCCAGGCTGTGTGTGTGAAGTGGGTCAATATCTGAGGTAGTGTGACACAATTGCCGATCATAATTATTGTTCTGTTTATCAATGCAAAACCCGGGGCGGTGGGGTAGCCTAGTGGTTAAAGCGTTGGCTCGTCACGCCGAAGACCCAGGTTCGATTCCACACATGGGCACAATGTGTTAAGCCCATTTCTGATGTCCCCCGCTGTGATATTGCTGGAATAATGCCAAAAGCGGCATAAAACTAAACTCAGTCAGTCAATGCAAAACCCACCAATACATCAGCTTGGCATAGCCCGGGCCGCTACTCCTCCAGGTACATGAACACCTGTACAAGTGGATGAAAGGACCCATCCAGACACCCTCCATGATTCATGATGCTCATTTCACAGGGGTTGTTGGGGTAGCCTAGTGGTTGAAGCGTTTACTCATCATGCCAAAGTCCCAGGTTCGATTCCCACATGGGTACAATGTGTGAAACCCATTTCTGGTGTCCCCTGCCTTGATATTGTTAGAATGTTGCTAAAAGCGGCGTAAAACTAAAATCACTCATTTTCACAGCCTCAGTGAAATGATCATCTTCCACAGTTATATTTTATCATTGTCATATGATATATTGCACAAAAAACATTTGACCCCTTTTGTCCAGATAATATTTTAACATTTGTATTCTAACTTGTGCAATGTTGCTTCCTTGTTGTAAGAAGTTTATTAGATACAAGGTATCCAGCAGCCAACAGAGTGTTGTTCTGGGTGGGCTGAGATGTTGGCTTCAGACAGTATTATTTCTCTCCAGTTTAAGCATGTTCCTTGGCAAACAATTTTTCGAAATGAAATCCTTTATTTTAAGAACCATCAACATTTGAAGTTAGGTCTGACCATTATTTTGCTGCATTTTCACTCACAAACTGTCAAATCTTTATTGTTTTTAATTCAGCACAATTTTTGTATGCAGCTACAGCAAACTTTCTGGTGTCCCCTGCCGTTGATTTGCTGGAATGACTAACTGAACTATCACTAGACCAGAGTTTTAAATGTCTCACAACGCTGGCCTTCTGTTCTACTTTGTCTTCTAGTACGTATTCTTTTCAGGAACCGCCTCCGTGGTGTAGTGGTTAGAGCCGTCCGCCCGAGAGCTTGCAGGTCTGGCTGGTCTGTTCCGCTTCATCATACCAAAAGAGCTTAAAATATGGTACTTGTTGGTCCCTGCCTGGCACTAGGATTAATGTGTAGAACAAGGACTGAGTCCGGAGTCAGTATAATGTGTCTGAGTGGGGTATTCATGCTTCACTGCGGGTTTCTCAGTGGGCTAGCACTATAAAACCAGCTTCAGTCTGGGCTAGTACAAGCAGCCGCGACATACACATATGGCATGCGTGTCATATGAGCCGAAATATTCTCAAGCACCGCGTTAAACCCAATTTCACCTCACCTCACCTTTTCAGGACTTAACACATAGGATGAGTGTGATACTAAACACATAGGATGAGTGTGAATATTCCTATGTTGGATAATTGACTGGTGAAATGATTATAAATATGTATGGCAGCTGTCTTTTTTGTTTTTGTCCATACAACTCATCATTTGACAGGACATTGTACACATTTGTAGGTTATGAGTTTTCTGAAACATGGAATGATGGGGAAACCCAAAGAAAAATTGAGCTTTATATGGTGAGGTGTGATCAGATGTCATGTAATTGTACATATCTTGTTAGTTAGTCCATTTAGATGAAGATGTTGTAGGATGCTTTTAATCCTTGGGATCCTTGTGTAAAGCTGCTGCTGTTTTGGCCATGATGCTGGAGATGAGGATCCATCTTCAGGACATTGCTCAGGCGGAAGTAACTCAGAGGCATTATGTGTTTGTGTGTGATGAGTGAGGCAAGTCGTGGATGCTTCATATTCACCTGACCTGATCACTTAAATAAGGTGAAGTAAACCAAACCTTGTCATCAATAGCATTAGAAGCAATATCTCTAAATTCTTCTCACTTACCCAGTGTTATACCTTGCACCATACTGAACAGGTCAAATTTGCTCATTTCAGCAAAACTGGTTTTTTTAACATTATATTGATTTTTTCAAACCAGTTTTGGTCTATAGTGAATATTCCTTCTGTTTTGTCATATCAAAACCGATTCCCTATATCATGCCATGTCAATGATTATGTGATGTTTCATACTTTGCAGAAGAATTAAGTGAGCTATAAAGTGTATTTTAATTCTTTTTTTTAATTATCTTTGTCAAAGCTGAGCCAACTTCAAAAGTGAATTGCCCAATATTTTAGAATTTATTCATATACTGAGTCAATGAAATTAGTTTTATGGATAATATTTTATTGTTTTTACTTCATAATTTACCGGTTTGTGTCATCATACTGCAATGTTTGTGTGTTCATCTGAGAAATGAGAAGTTGTGTGGTAAATAGAATTGCAATGTCATGTCAGGTCATGTATATTTTCTGTGTCGTCATGACCGGGTTATTTCTGTGTCGTATCACCAGGTTATTTCTGTGTCATCATGACCGGGTTATTTCTGTGTCATATCACCAGGTTATTTTAAGGTTTGCTTTCAGTCTTGCCCTTCGAGTCAGTCCTCCTCTCAGGGACAGGCAGCATCTGTCTTCATGTGTGAAATGTCATGACAATAGCCTCATAAGGCCGAAAGAAATAATGTGTTTGTGGTAATCTAAATATGGTCAAGAACATTTACCCATTCGTTTGTGTATTTGATTTCCGATAATTAGCCAGTATATATATTTTTTTATTACTGGAGTTAAGGAACTCTGATTTTAATCAACATTTCTGTAAAGTAACATTATTGGTCTTCAGCCTGGATTATGTGATTGGTAATTTGTTGACTCTTGTTTGTTGTTTTCATCGAAGGGGTAAGGTGTATAGCTACTGGTGCACTACTTATTTAGCAGTTACATCGAAGTCGATTATGAGGAAGTTATTTTCTTTGTTGTTTAACGTCACACTCAGCAATATTCCAGCTGACGGCTGGTGTGGAAGTAGGATAGTACATTGTTGTTGGTAGTTGTACAGCATAAGTGGGGGAATACCTTCTACTTATCATTGGGACAATCAAAACATATCATCAGTTGTGGGCTGCCTGTCAGGAGGAGCAGGGCTAAGGTGATACAATTTGCTGGGCTGAGTTTTAACCTTGGTTCGCCTTATTAGTCAGTAGGTGTTTCAGCACCTCAGCTGGTGGGTTCACCAACGTGGTAAATGGCAGAGACCTACGTGTCATTTGAGGTGTGCCAGGAGAACTGACGTGTCATGACATGATTGGATTACTGTTCAAAGAAGCATCACTCCCGTCGCATCTGCATGCGACATACATCTGACGCAGCAAAGGGAGGTAACTCTAACCATAGACAAATGTCAAGTGCTTTATTTCTGTGCAGCTTAAATGGACATTGATCTTGGGTTTTTTTATAAAATGGAGGTATATGGGGCAATTATTATTTGTTTTTTGTTACCTCCATATCTTCAAAGTAAATGACAGTTATGCAAGAGGCAATTTGCCCGAGGAGGATGTCGGTGGTGATGACGATGGTTTTACTGATGTTGGCATTTTATGATCCTCAGGAAATTAAAATGCTCAGGTGCAAATTTTCAAGGTGTCTGGGTGTTATTAAAAAACAAGAGTATATGAGTGTTTGCTAGAGTATCCGTTACATATTAATTTGTGTACATCACTTCATATTTGCTCCAGAATCACCTTGGAGTCAGAAAGTCAGTCAGAGTATACAATATCCAGCAAGTTATGACTTGTGGTGTCTGGTGTGTTAAGTGCCTGTATTATACATGCTTGTTATGAAGTGGGTGTTGTATGCCTGTCAGTGCTCTCCTGTCTCAGGTAATGGTTGTGTACACTTGTTCAAATTGAAGAATATTTCAGAGTGGTAGAGTTGTTTGTTTGTTATTTAACGCCACACTCAGCAATATTCCAGCTATATGGCGGCGGTCTGTAAATAATCGAGTCTGGACCAGACAAACCAGTGATTAACAGCATGAGCATCAATCTTCGCAACTGAGATACAATGACATGTGTCAACCAAGTCAGCTAGCCTGACCACCCTGTCCCGTTGGTCACCTCTTACTGGTAGAATTATTTGGTGGCTCTCTTGGATGTCAGTCAGCATAGTTTCAGAAAGTGAGGTTGACACAGAAGGCTGCCAAATAATACTGGCTGCAGTATCTAGATAAAACAGGTATTTTATTTTACCTCTTCCTGGTTGATGTAAAACCAACAACAACCCGGCATTTTTATCAACATCCAAATGCTTGGAGTCGACAGATTTGGAAACCAAGCTCGAAAACAAGCGGGATCTTACTGTGTGTACTCATTATTTGTCAACACCAAGTTAAATTATCAACTTTACTGATTATTTTGGTGTGTTTTTGTGTGTAATTGATAAATATGCAACTCAGTTTCAGTCATTAGCAACAGACGAGAGGTAGTCACGTGATTGTGTCCTGGTCATCTGCTAATCTGTATGAAGAGAACACCTATATTGTTTTGTGTTGTTGATGTCGCTGTTGTCATTTAGTAAAGCAGGCTATGTGAGGTCTGTCCCATTAGGAAAATATGTATGAATGAAAATGTGATTTATTAGGAACCTATATTGCAATGAGGGGTAGTTTCCTGGTTCCTGTTTGACCTTGAAGAGTACAGGCTGCATGTCTGGGTAGTAGTATGTCCTACGAAGGCATAATATTTTTACATGTTGGAAAAGTTGTTTACATTATGTGTAGTCCTGTTTTGCTTGCTTGTGTTTGTATAAAATACCCGTTGTGTGTATGTTGTAAACAATAAGCATGACAATGGAACATGGGTTGACAGTATGAAAGATGACATTTTATAGCCAAAACCACCTCACACCAGAACTTAATTTTTGTGTCACCACATGGATGATATACCTAGTGAGTTTCAAGAAAATGAAATGAAATTTCAAACATTTTTGTTATGTTTAATGTGGGCACTGACGTGATATTTGTGGCCTTAGTATAAGTTCAGCAATACCATGTCCCATGTATGCAACATCCCAAGTGTTCATGGGAAGTGTTGTGAAAGTTTGTGTCAGATGCTTTGATTAGTCACTTTCTGTGTGGGTGTTGACATGTCAACCTGTGATTGGTCACTTTCTGTGTGAGTGTTGACATGTCAACATCACCAAGTGTTCATGGTGATTTTGTGTGTGAAAGTGTGTCAGATGCTGTGATTAGTCACTTTCTGTGTGGGTGTTGACATGTCAACCTGTGATTGGTCACTTTCTGTGTGAGTGTTGACATGTCAACCTGTGATTGGTCACTCTCTGTGTGGGTGTTGACAGTGTTGACAGTGTCACTACTGTGATTGGTCACTTTCTGTGTGTGGGTGTGTTGACAGTGTCATACTGTGATTGGTCACTCTCTGTGTGGTGTGTTGACAGTGTCACACTGTGATTGGGTGTTGACAGTCACTCTCTCTGTGTGGGTGTTGACAGTGTCACCTGTGATTGGTCACTCTGTGTGTGGTGTTGACAGTGTCACACTGTGACTGTGGGTTGGTCACTCTCTGTGTGGGTGTTGACAGTGTCACCCTGTGATTGGTCACTCTCCACTCTATGTGTGGGTGTTGACAGTGTCACATGTCACTGTGATTGGCACTCTGTGATTGGTGTGAGTGTTGACAGTGTCATACTGTGATTGGCCACTCTATGTGTGGGTGTTGACAGTGTCACACTGTGATTGGCCACTCTCTGTGTGGGTGTTGACAGTGTCACACTGTGATTGGTCACTCTCTGTGTGGGTGTTGACAGTGTCACCCTGTGATTGGTCACTCTCTGTGTGGGTGTTGACAGTGTCACACTGTGATTGGTCACTCTCTGTGTGGGTGTTGACAGTGTCACACTGTGATTGGTCACTCTCTGTGTGGGTGTTGACAGTGTCATACTGTGAGGGACTGTAGGCAGTTAGCAGTGCCCAGTCGGGGTCATGTCATAAATAATAATGAGGGAGATTGGGATTTGTGTTTCTGTTTTAAAGGAGTTGAACATTTCTTTCACAACACATGGGTCCCTTAATGTTCTGAGTCCAGTTCCAGAAGCAACAGACTGATACAACTATTTTAACTCCCTTACTTTAACGTAGACCTATGCTGGTCTCAGCACTAAAATACCTTTGTACTTCCATCTCAGTGTGTGTGATGACCCAACGAATCTTTAGGAAACCACTTGTACTTAGGGCTTTGAGCACTTTTTGTGTTAATATGTTGCTCATTCTGTCTCTTATTGACATAGTTGAATAATTAGAAATAGTTTTCTGTGTATGATAAAAATATGCGAGTGGAACATTTCTACTGTTCATATTTCATCATAAACTGCCTTGTTTTTCCACGTATGTTAGAGAGATGGACGTGATGTTAGTCCCATAGACATAAAGTGTGAAGGGAGATAATCATGCACAACTACACAATGTGATACAGTGCCTCCACAAAGCATATCATTGCACCTGTAAATCTAACTTGAATGACACCATTAGTGGCGTGATGGCTTTGTGGAATCAGGTACCGCTTCACAGTAGACATTTTGAACTATTTTTACATGTCGCAGAGAAAATGTCTACTTAAATTTTTATCATGCGAAATAAATTATATTTGAAATATCGCTGTTATGTGAATTTTTATGGTAAATTTCTAGACTTGTTGGTATTGACATGTATTTTGAACCACGATACTGTGGGATCGGTGTGGTGGATGTACGTCTCTTGCAGTGGTTAATATGTTCACTGGTTTGTCGGGTTTTGTCTGGTAGCCTTGTGGTTCGAGCATTCGCTCGTCACGTTGAAGGCCCAGGTTCTATTTTCCACATCACAATGAGTGAAACCCATGTCTGGTATCCACGGTGATTTAGCTGGAATATTGGTCATACCAAAGACGTTAAAATATGGTACTTGTTGGTCCCTGCCTGACGCTCGGCATTAATGGGTACAACAAGGACTGGTCGGCTCGGAGTCAGTATAATGTGTCTGAGTGGGGTATTCATGCTTCACTGCGGCATGGTATCTCAGTGGGCTAGCACTATAAAACCAGCTTAAGTCTGGGCTAGTACAAGCAGCCGCACATACACATACACACGCATGCACGTCGTCATATGAGCGAAATATTCTCAAGTACGACGTAAAACCCAATTTCACCTCACCTCACCTGGAATATTGATAATACTCACTCATTTGTTAGTTAGCTAAGGCACGGCAATTCGTTGTGCAGGGTTGCGTCGCTTCGGTGCATCAGATACCCATGACTGGGGTCAAATCCCAGTTTGTCGGCTTGTGATGAGTCCTGCACGCTTTTCTCCCCTCATTTAGCTGACACTCCGCTACATAGAGCCAAGCTCTCACACAAATAGTCCGTCATACAGACCCTGAAACGTATATACCCAATGTAGCCCATTCAAGTCTAGAATGTGTGGCAAGTCTAGTAGCAGTTTCAGGAATGAAGACAGACTCAGAGCTCCTTTTATTGTATTTATCATTTTGATTTAAAAACATTTATTTTCTGTGAAATATGTTCATTTTAGCTGCTGAGATTAGCTGTTAGTCTATCACAGAACTTGCACAGCCAACTGCTGTGTCGTACACAGGCCATGCTTGCCACCCACCCACGAAAACACATTTGCGGACGTAAAATCACTCAGGTTTCCTCAGATCTGATTTGTGCACCATACACGGAATACCTCGCACCATTTACTGGAGAATGCAAGCGTAATTTTTGTCAGAATGGGAGATAGGTGTTTCAAATTCTGAAATGATCAGAATATGAAGGTTCAATCACAATGACATACTAAAATACTCGAGAGACGTTTAAGAAAAAAGATAACTTGAATACTCAACAACGTGGTTGTTTATTAAACAACTTTTTCCAGTGATGGGTATACACACACCAAACAGCTGATGGGTGCAGGGTATTCATGTCCGTATACCGCTTTGACATTTAATCAGCAAATTCCGTCATTGTGTTATTTTGCATATCATCGTTCTCTTGTGAAGACAGACGGACGGTAAATGTAAGTCACATCTGCACACGTCCTGGAGGTGGTATATAACCCACCCCTCGTCCCCGGAAAAAAACCAACTCCTTTAAGCTTAGTACTTAAAATATCCATGTACGCAGACTTGGTCTCGTCGCTATATGGCTGGAATATTGCCGATGCGATGTAGAACTCAACTCAACTCAACTCAAACCCCGCCCCAGTGGCTGTATACGTTGCCAGCGGATTTTGTTTTTCACAATGCATTTGGTTTCATCATATCCTGGTTGGAATTGTTCTTCTTGTCGTAAGAGGCGACCAACGGGATCGGAGACAAACGGACACATGTCATCGTATCCCAATTACGTAGATCGATGCTCACGCTTTTGATCAATGGATTGTCTGGTACAGACTCGATTATTTACAGACCGCCGCCATATAGATGGAATATTGCTGAGACCGGCTTTAAACAACAAACCAACCCACCAACCAACTTTTGGTATATTTCGTCTCGGGAAGAAGAGAAAAGACTTTTCCAGATCAGAATATAGGTGTCTGTCTTCGTGTTGAATCGACCCAGGCAGGCAGGATATATGCCGTATAAACTACTCCGTACGAAGCTTCCGTTATACGTCACGCAAGGTGTCGAGAGATCGATGTCGCTGAAAAAAAACTTCCACGACCTAACGGGCAAAGTATAGAACAACTAGAAGCGCACATACAATCTGTGCCTAATGTGTGTATTGACCAGAGGTGAGGTGAGGTGAAATCGGGTTTTACGTCGTGCTTGAGAATATTTCGCTCATATGACGACGTGCATGCGTGTGTATGTGTATGTGCGGCTGCTTGTACTAGCCCAGACTTAAGCTGGTTTTATAGTGCTAGCCCACTGAGATACCATGCCGCAGTGAAGCATGAATACCCCACTCAGACACATTATACTGACTCCGAGCCGCCCAGTCCTTGTTGTACCCATTAATGCCGAGCGCCAGGCAGGGACCAACAAGTACCATATTTTACGTCTTTTGGTATGACGCGGTCGGGGATCGAACCCGCGACCTTCCGCTCTCCGGGCGGACGCTCTAACCACTACACCACGGAGGCGGTCGTATTGACCAGAACGGAAGGGGGACGTACGTGCATAGTGTCTACCCACTGTATACCACGGCGGTTAGACTAACAACCAGTCTCCGAAATGAACATATTTTACAGAAAAAAAGTTCAAAGTAAAAAAAATAAAATACAATGAAAAGGAGCCCTGCGACTGAAGCTGTGAAAATCAAGACTTGCCACATTAATGGCGAACTGGTTAAGAAGGACATTGGCATGAGGTAATAAGATTATTTAATGTTTGCAAACACACCCGCACATAACACGGCTTTATAGAATCCACCCTCGCGTAGCTCGTCTCCGTTACATTATGAAAGAATTGGCACTGTCGTGCCCTACAAAGATAGCGCTGTATTACAATATACCTGGTACCCGTTCTATTCAAGGTGGTCACGCACATGTCAGACAAATATCTTGAAGATGTCAAACAGGCGTTTCAATGAACCGGAAATGACGGATTCCCTAATTTCCGATGTGTAGTATGTAAGAATACTACCTATCCGGAGCACACAGAAGCTACCAAAATGCCACCATGCGACCCCGGAACTTCTCGTTCCACGTGTATAAACATATGTACCTCACCTCTCAACTCGCATGCGTGATAGCATATTTTATATTTAACGGAATGTTGCACTGAGACTAAGAATATGTTCACACAAATATTGTTTTACCCCGCACTAATCATTACTGTAACTCGCTGCGTTAGGAGAACGAGTTCATGACTAGATGAGCCCCGCTCCCCGCCTTCACGGTGCGCAGACGCACAGCCAGTCAGACGCACGTGACACATTGTAACCTCGTGACACGTCTTGTTAGTCGTCTGGATATTAGGCAGCTAAATTCTACCACAGGAAAATGTTGAAGGTGTAGGTTGTCAAAGGACAGAAGTTGCCCTGTCGTCCTAGGTTGTCAAAGGACAGAAGTTGCCCTGTCGTCCTAGAGGTCGCCTGAGCTGTGTTGTGTCATAAAAACGTATGATTGGGCATCTAAATTATGTGTAGAGGTTTGAGGACACCATACCCGTTTTCGTGGGTTTCACCAAAGTGGTTAAATGCTGAACCCTGAATCTCGAGGGCTTTTCTGCCACTATAGGTTCACTATCTTGGAAATAACTTGGACGCTGTGCACGGCGCTGTACACGGCGGTCTGTAAATAATGGAGTCTGGACCTGGCAATCCAGTGATCAACAGCATCGATCTGCGCAATTGGGAACCGATGACATGGGTCAACCAAGTCAGCGAGCCTGACCACCCGATCCCGTTAGTCGTCTCTTACGACAAGCATGGGTTACTGAAGATCAATATTCTAACCGAGACCTTCACGGGTCTCACTATCTTGGAAATAACTGGTACGCTGTACACAGCGGCATCAAACTAGACTCACTCAATCACTCAATCATGGTCACCCCCAGCTTTATATCTACACAGATGTCAATAGTATCAAACTGATACTCTCTAGAATCGTGAAAGAAATAGCTCTGTAATCATGACATGAGCAAAATGGTACTGGCGCCTTCTCTGCTCAATACTGCATGCAACATTTCACATGTGTTTGCTATTTGAAGTCAATATTCCAGCTGTTTCAATATCAATATACAAATATCAATATGTGTCAATGATCGAATCTGGAGCAGACAATCCAGTGATTGATATTTTCAGCTTCCATTTGCACATCTGGTATACGATGGACGAGCCTGACCACCTGACCCAGTTATTCGCCTGTTACGACAAGCATGGGTTGCTGGAGACCAGTAAGTCTGACTGACTGAGTTTAGTTTTACGCCGCTTTTAGCAATATTCCAGCAATATCACGGCGGGGGGACACCAGAAATGGGCTTAACACATTGTGCCCATGTGGGGAATTGAACCCGGGTCTTCGGCGTGACGAGCCAACGCTTTAACCACTAGGCTACCCCACCGCCCCCGAAGACCAGTAAGTAGAAGAGGCGAAAGTTGTCTTGATTCTTCCTGAAGGTTTTAAAGCAGATCGGGAGAGTTTTGTTTGGTTTTGTTTGGTTTTGTTTGGTTCTTGTTTAACGCCGCACTCTCCAATATTCCAGTATATGACGGAGGTCTGTAAATAATCGATTCTGGATCAGACAATCCAGTGATCAACATCATAAGCATCGATCTACACAATTGGGGTACGATGACGTGTGTCAACTAAGTCAGCGAGCCTGACCACCCGATCCCGTTAGTCGCCTATGACTACAAGCATGGGTTACCGAAGATCAATTCTAACTCGGATCTTCACGGGTATAAAGCATAGAGAGGGAGAGTGGGCTTTAATCTGCCTTCAACGTTTGGCGTTTATCCCAGTACGTCTGTATTATTTGGAAACTTTTAGCTGGAAGCTAGGAATAGTGGTGTGGTTCTGACAGCTGAGATTCGAACAAACTAACAGCAGATCCTGACAGGTAAGGGAGACAACTCTGCTTATGTCTCATGTTCTAAGCTCAAAGTTGAGCGAGTGTAAAATGAGTATTCTGGGTTATTCACGACATAAACTATGAAGAATTCGATAA